GATTCAGAAGGCAATCTATATTAAGGGTAAAAGAGCCTTACAACAAAACATCACAAGCTCCAATTTATCATCTTATCTCGAGAGAAATAATATGTTACTGCACATGTGTATCGCATGCAGCCTATGTATGTACAGCACTGTTACATACTTTCATCTTATCACATAATGCTATTTGTCCAGCACTGTTGCTTATGACTAACAAAACCAGTGACATTCATATTAGCTTCAGCTGCACTTGTGTGTTTATGGCTAATTCGGAAATGTTAGAATGCCAATGCCCTAAACCAAGAAGGTAAACATGGTAAACACAGAATGTTTGCGTTGTCATTGTGAGCGTGTTAGCAAGCTTACATTAGCATTTTAAAGTACCAGTGTGTAGTTGCAGATTCAAGATTGCATCCGTCTGAATGGTGTTATAAAATTCTACTAGGGGCTGATGACACCAACCATCTTCTGAGGAAAAGAGGTGCATGTATTTTTATTTCTTTATTTTGCAGCACACATTTTTGTTGCATCAGGATAGAAGAGTCTTTGAGGAACCAGTATGTCTCCCAAACAGCAGTAGTCTGGCTTGCAGTTTGTTAAAAAACAGGTGCTATAGCTGTGACTCAAATGTATGCATCAGTGTCTCATTTAGGCTGTATATGGGCAAAGATTATGTGAAGTAACCAAATGTCACCTTTTCATCCTCTGCATTGACCGGCGCTTGCATTTAAAGAATGAATGGACATTTCATTCATTCATAAGATTGTGCTCCAACCTTATCAAACACGGTTATTATCCTCACTGCTGCTAACCTCACCTATTGTAAAGGAGGATGCATTCAAAAGCCCTTGACTTTGTCTTACATTGAGAGCATGACTGTTGAAAATTCGCTTTAGGGCCGTAATTTCAGCCGTCGGATATACTGAGGTCATATATTGTGGGGGTATGGGTGGGTTAACTGCTTTTAAAGCTCTTTCAAGTGATGCAGGTTGTAATTTGCTCGTAATGTTACAGGAACTTGAAAGGAAGATGGACGTAATAAATCGTTCGTAATAAGCCTGCGTGGTCAGGAATCAACAACCTATAACAAGCAATCACACAGCTTCCAACACTTACACATTGACGGCAATTGACCCTAATCACATTTACTCACACCATCCCTCCTATTTATGACACGGTGAAAGTCTGGAAAGTTCTTTTTCTCACTTGTTTTTTTACTGATCAGTTTCTTTAAATTGTTATGTTACTGAATAGTTGCATGACTCTTGTCTTGTGGAGAGGATAATTCTTTCATTGTACATAGGGCTCTTAAATCATTACATTTATAAGTTATATAGATTATTAAAAAGTCAAGAAGACATACAGAAACATAGCCTACCAAACCAGTTCAGCAGTTATCATAGAATGTGTATTCATTTTATTTTCATGTCTGGATTGGCATGACATTTGGTGCCCACATTCATGCTCCAAATAGGCAGAAGATAACTGATTTTGAAGACCTGATGACCTCTCTTCTGACATAGCCCCCCTATCAAACTCTTTGCAGCCATTCAAAGTTTTGAAAATTTCAGCCCTCTGACCCCGAAGACCTACTGACACAAAGCTGGAATTCCCTATAGGACCAGCATCAGGATAACCTTCAAACTCTTAACTTAACTCTGCTAAACCTTCAGTTGTTCTGTATCTTATACCATTAAGTGCCGCTGACCCACCATACAGCCTCCCCCAGCTGCAGTTTAAAAGCAGACCTATAAATCGCTGCAAGGCGCAATAACAATTGCAAAGGTTGTTTTAATAAAACCAGGAAACTACTACTACTTAATGAATTATTATTTCATTATTCCCTAGCTAGCCCTATGGTATGAAAAGTACTATCACAATGTCTTATTCTTTCTTTGAGCCCTTTTACATCGTTTGGGATGTTACCGTTTCAAAGGCTATCTGAGTGATGATGGATTTATTGGCAATAAATCAAGACAGGCGGACACTTTGCTAATGTGGCTCAGTTACTCAAAATTTGTGATACCTTCAGGGTATTTCTCTATCACACCACATGACTTCAGACATCTTTAGCTGGCGTCCAATAAAGGATGATGTTATCAGAAAAGTTCCGTTAAAGAAAATGTGTGGTTTTCACTCAGTGATGTCATTTTTTATTGCAGGGTTTATAGGTTGTCATTTTCCCGCTAAACCAGTGTGACCTTGAATCAGCACTTCCACCATCAATCTCCGCACTAAATTGCAATCAGGCAGTGTCAGCTAAGCCGTGTAAACGTGACTGGCACAAAGCATGGTATATCAGCTATCTATAGACACTCACGCCGCAGACACTTTGACCTGTCCAAGACAGGCGTTTCTAACAGCATTAATCATGTCAGGGTGCCATTTAGGTGTGCTATACTTTTCTAAATGTGCTTTCGATTGCTATTAGTTACACCTGTAGTCACGGAGAACGTCTCACACTGGCCCCCGCACAATAGGTTAATGGGTGTATCTTTTTGGCACAAAATACACCCATTAACCTATTCAGCTTCAGCTTTAACTATGCTGAATTGGTCCATTTAAAAGGGTTAAATGAAATAAGCAAACGGAATGAAACCGCGGCCCTAAGTACGAGCAAAGTTGGAATAAAAAAAGAAAGCCCACTGACGATTTGAATCAAGTTACCACCGATTTGGTGTCTCGTGTGACTAAGCAGTCTCAAACAACTGCCACTGAGGCCTGTGATAGGCATGTATAAAAATACAAAATGCTGAAGTTGCCTAGCACAGGGCTTTTTTTTTTTTTCTTCCTTTCTTTCTTGTTTGAATCTCTTGTCTTTTTCTGCGTTTGGCTGAGTCAGACCTCCCACATAAAAGTGGCTTATTGTCAAAGTAAGACGGGAGTTATTGGGTGGATAAGAGGGAGGCAGAAGCAAAGATATAAATGGTGAAGGGATTTAGTCAGTATCAGATCTCTGAAAGGAGCTCATATCCCTCTCTCGCCCTTGTTGAAATGACTTCTTACTGAGTGACCCTGCTCCATGCTCTCCCCTGAGTCTTGATCCGTGAAAACTAAAAGTTCTGAGGCTGGCAGCACCGGGGTCAAAGGGTATATCAGCAGCTCGATGGGCTGTACCTGACCAGCCAACAGCTGAGATACAGTCCTCCTCTTTCCCCTTACAATGAAGGGGAAAAACAATGCAAATGTAATCAGATTATTGCTATTTTTGTGCTGTTAAATCTGAGTCGTGAGATAACAGGCAACAGCTTCCATCTCAGTGGGCATTGGATACATTTCATTTTGAGTAACAGCTCACATCAAATTTGATAAGCATGGCGCATTGCCGCCCGAAATGGAGTGCATAATCCTATAAACAGGACACAGACAGAAAATTCTGGATTAATCAGCACGCCGTGTCCTTTTCCAAGGTGCTTCCTGGGTTTAAAAATACTTCACTGATAATGTAGGTGTAATCAAAATCACACCACGTCTTACTGAATGCTTATTCGTCTAATACATCGAGTATGTGGGGGGGTATTAATAACATCTTACCCGTACATGTACATGTGGTTGACAGACAGACTAAAGTGTACCGGCTCGTTGTTTTATTCGCAGAATGAACCACACAGTTCTGACCAATGTGCCTGATTCACCAGAAAACTGTTCATAGTAGCAAAAACACAAGAGACATAATCAGACACTGATGGAAACTGAATCATAACACAAGTTTGTGTCAATTTGGCCAAGAATGGATCCCCTGCAGCAATGTTTATAATAGGCTTACATTAAGAATTCAGGTCTGGTTTCTTACTTATTTGTTTTACAATGGCTCCAATATGTCTAGCAGTATTATTCTCCCTTTATATTTTAGATGCGGCGCTCAGCGTTTTGCCCAAGGGCATACACACAGCATGCACCTGTGACACTTATGGGTCACTAAGGGCAGCTTTTCTCAAATGTTATCATTTCAAGGACTTGATTCGGCTGCCTTGGACAAAACAAAAAAGCAGGGTTTTTGTAGTTTTGTCTAACACAACCTGCATGTTAAGAAGTTCTCCTTCAAAGTATGTAATTCTCCACTGTTTTCCCTTTGAAAACTGTCTAAACATTTTTCTATTTTCTAGTTTGAAATACTGTGTGATAGGCAGGGCTGAATTAACACAACATGGGGCGCCCAGTGCAAAAACAATTGCTGTTAAACTTCTGCTGTCACCTGCTATTTGTGCATCTTTTTGGTGCTTTTTTTTGCTACTTTGCCAAACACATTTGTAGTATTTTAAATTTCTATAATTTCTTTATCGCCCCCCTGCCCTGGTGCCCCCATTTAAAAAAAAAAACTACAAAAGTGCCCGTACGGCAGATAAAACATGATAATGTGCCCTCTATGATGGCCCAGTGTGTAAGAAAACATGATGAAATGCCCTCTAGGGTGCCCTTCCCGTGTAGAAAATGTGATTCTGTGCCATATATGCTAGAAGAATGGGTTGGGGAACTGTTTCAACCTTAAATGCATGACTGCACTGGTACGCAGCTGGTGCCCTTTTTCATTTTTTCGCCCCAGCCCTACAGACAGTCTGCCACTGGCCCTTAGGGACCTAATTTACAGTTGCTGCTAAACTCATCAGCTTCGAGGATATGTATAAAAGTTAGATGTTCATGTCTTAGTTTAAAGCTTAAATGTTCCTGGTGCTTATTTGTTTATTTTGGAATTTACTGCTTGGGCTTAAACTGGCCTTTACAAATTAAAAGACCCTGAGACACACGGCATTAGTGGACTGTTTTCATGCAAATGTTCAATAAAGATGATTTTAAAGGGGAAATGGTGATCATCCTTGGTCAGTAGGTGGACTGATAATAATCAGAGTGCTAACATAGGGATGCATCTTGGTGGACCCTCTGTTCTTGGGGTATATTTGATTCCCAGCATCTTATTATTGTGGCCCTGGAGCAGGGAGCCGGGAGCCGGGCCTGGCACATCTCAGGCCTAGGTGTCAGGGCAACCAGCAAGCGGCGCTTCAGTCCCAGCTCAACTCATGGAGCCGCTATGGTCGAAAATGTCCATAGAGGATCGAGTTACACTACGCCCCATCTTTAAGCCCCAGTCATTGCGCCGTTAGCCGCAGGACAACAGCGGATAGGATAGGATACTGCCCGCCGGGAAGGTAAAGCCTCCACACTCATGTAAGTGGCTATTTTCTGTCAAGTTTCCCCTCGAAGAAATGTTGCCGAACATTTTGTAATGTATTAATAACTTCAGCTTTAGCAACAGTCGCCTTTGTTCGCTACATGGCCGCTAATGAGAGGGAAATATTCTGAGACGCCTGTTGTCGCGGCGGGTCACTGAGCAAGAAAGAACGGGATTTACACCGTTTAAGTGTCACTTTTCGTGTAAAAGTGTTATGTGTTTGCTGTAAATAGCCACCGTGAATGGTTGTTTTTTTTTTTTTTTTTGCTCGGTACAAGCGGTACAAGCTAACTTCTTTACCGTGTCCTTCTCGGAAGCCTGTTGCTTTTCTGCTCCGCGGATGAGATGGGGAAGGAGGGAGGAGGAGGAGTTGAGAAAAGCGGATTGTCCCAAGTGTGTTGGCTTTATTCAAAATATTAGCAAACCTCGACTGCTTTTTCAACAACAATACACACTTGCACACATCCATTGTAGCAACCGCATTATTAACGTAAGCAAGGCTGTTAAACATGGCTGTGCTCGACCGACATTTTTTAATAGTTAGGAGACGAACCGCACAGTAAAATGACAACCTGTTACTCAGCTATTCGTGGTGACGGCAAAGCTCCCGCACGACTTCAATGATTATTTTCGGATCCCACCTTAAAGCTCCAGTGTTTTTGGGTTGAAGTCCACTGTGTAACAACAGATAATGAGTTCCTCAGGCCTTCAATGAATCATTACAAGCCACTGGCTATGTGCAAACCAAGAGTGAATCACTTCTTCTCCTTGCTTAAGATTAGGAAATATATATCTTCGATACATTTGAAGGTCCCTGAAAGCATCACTCATATAGACAAACTAGAACAGTTAAAGCCCAAAACCATGTTGGAATATTTTACAAATGTGTGTATATTAAATCTGAGAAGTGTATATTTGCCTGGAACTGGATGCCAGTAGTCATTTTTAATCATCTTCAGGTTGTTATGCATTTAAAAGGGTTTCAGCAGCAGTAAGAAAGAAGCAAAGATGAACATATGCAAAAGTCATATCCTGCAGCAATTCATTAGTAGGCCAAAGAAAGTCAGCACAACTCCAAACTAAGTTTAATTAAAAATAAAGCCAATAATTTACAAGTCAGGACAAATAAAATGCACAGCGGCCACATACTGTATTTAGAAAGCTCATTAGTGAGTTGGAACGTTAGAAGCACACAGTGGATGAAGCAAATGGAACGAACATAAACAAACCAGTGCTGTGGTGACCCTGGTGCCACACGTACTGCGGCTATTCTAAGAGTCTATACAGGGCTTTTAATTATCCCACCAATCTCCTTTAATCGTGTAAGGTCTCCCTGAGTCGTGTCATGCTTGTGACAAAGCCACTTCCAAAGTCAAGTATGACGTTCCCGAGATGGGAGTTAACAGCCATCACACCACCGATAAAGGCACGAGTCAAATACAGAAGACAATAACCCCCCTCATATGTTGCAAAGGCCTTCTACTACTATTACTTCTACTTACTGTGGAGTTGTGTTGATCACTATAGATCAAGATTATGGGCATTTTCACTGTTTTCTGACAGAACAATTAGTGGATTAATCAAGAAAAATAACCAGCTCACCAATATATGATAAAGATAATTAGTTAGTTGCCGCCCTATATGATGTAAGCAGGGTGGTACCCTATTCTTAAAATAACCGATAAGACTGTTCGCCTGAGTATGATACTTAATCATCAGAATGTGGTTTCATTAGGAAATGTGGCCGTGTTTATCTGATGGGAGTAAAATGGATAATCATATTTAATGTTGCCTGCGGACATGTCATGCTGCCAAAGTGCAGTGAATGAAGTCCCGGGAATGTAAATGACCAGGTGTTAATCCATCAATAAGAGCATTAGTCAAATATAAATGAACTAATGACTTACAGTAGATGCGTGCTCACATGGACACACTGCACCATTGCACTGGGGACTGAAAAAAAAACAGCCCTGCGGTTCTTCGGCACAATGGTTACTCTGTGGTGTTACGGCGAAGCGTTCTTAAGAGATAGATATGGCTCCGACTGAAAGGAAATAAATCCATTTTCCCTTTCATGTTGACCTTTCGGGAAAAGAATGTTGAATGAAGTCGGGTTCAGAGGAGAAGGAGCCTTTCCAGCTCTGACTTCCTGTTTGTGCAGAGTGCCTTGTGGAAGTCAAAAAAGATGAGCGAGTGTGTGCTGTTTAGGAAAAAGACGTAACCCATTATGTTGTTCTTTGCAGGCCTTGAAAAGGGGAAGAGTTTGAAATTGCTGTTAATGGGGAGGAATCACATTCACCCGCAGTTCTAAAAATGATAGAAACAATGGGTAAGTAATGTTTTTTCATTATTTTACGGCAGCCAGATACAACTGATAGCGTCAGTGTGTTATTTACTATGGTTGAAAATACATGTTGATGAAACGAAAACAAGGAATGTGTGGCTATGTATCCATTGTGTCTCTCAAATGTTCTTTCCTCTCCTTCCTCTGTCCCTAATTTAACAGATTTAACAAGCTTAAGTGTCTCCAAAATCAAATACTCAGTTTGAATTAAACGAAATGCTACCGTAATAAATGAGACAAAACATCAAGTATTGCCTCTGCACGCTCGCTGTGCCTTGTTTTAATTTTTAATCATTTCTAAAATGAGCATTTTTTTTGCAGAGAGGTTTGCTCTAGTCAGTCGGGTGTCCGTCTTTGCTGGCTCCGCATCCGTATTTGGCTCCTGCTGTGCATTTTTCTCAACCAGTGTAAGAGGCCCTGGATTTAGTTCAAGGCTTGTGGGCTGCCAATGTTGCCATATCTGATAATGTTGCCATATACTTGATTGTTTGTTTGTCCCCATAGAGATTTATTTGTCCAACTGTCAAGCATGGAGCCAAACGGTTGCTGCCAGCTTCTTTCTTTAAAGCCGCAATCTGTGGTCACTCTCAAGACTGGCATGTTGACCATGTACTATCAACCGTAACGTGCAGGCTTTTTTCAATGGAATCAAACTAGCACTGCAATTTTGACTATTTTAATAGTGTCATCCTCTGCTTCAGGCTCACCCCGTCTTTTGGAACAAGCACAGGCCGACACACATAAAACGCGCCATACACTGGTGGGACCCCTCATTATGCACACTGAGTCGAGGGCAGTGAAAATGATACAGCTAGGGGTTGCGTAGGACCGGTGACGAACGAGAAAAAAAAATCTGCTGAGGCTCGGTGTTATTGGCTTGTTTACAACCTTTGTTCAAACAACAAAGCTTCTAAGTGCAGAAAGGGCTTTGGACCTTCTGCACGCCCTATTAGGTGTTAGTCACAGTTGGTGAGATTCGGAAATTGCTTCATTTTTGTCCAGATGACGATTGGCTGGCCCATCCTCACTAACAAGCCACTCTGGAGTTGCTCGATTGTGGAGCTTATGCAAGGTCCAGCAAGCAAACTGTGGAGGGCCTGCTTCTTTTATCTTTCCCTCCTGATGCCCATTCTATGCTCCTGTGCAACCCACCATTGACCCTGAAGGTAGAAAAGGAAACATTGCTATTCTGCAGACAGACAGCGCATCGAAAATTTAGTTTTTATTCCTTCTGGTGCAAAACCTGATGCTACGTGATTTCGATATCGTAAGGTCTGTTGAGCACCAGTCAGCCTTAGCTAAGCCTACAGGTTAGATGTGTAGCTCTCTCCATCCTTTTTCTGTTCTTCATTTACACGTCACTGTTAAACAGAAAGAAGAACGCCAGATGATTACACTGTATGATTTAAAAAAAAAGCACATTATTGAATAAGGATATTTAAATGTATAACTGAGCCAATGTGCGAACACCCTTCCCTGTCTCGCTATCTCTGCCCATACTGATAAAGCCTCTGTCCTCATCTCCTATTCTTCACCTCTATCTCTCCCACGCCTCTCCGTCTCCCCGCATCCACTCCTTCACTGCGGCCGGCGCTGTCACTGAAATATGCGACGGCTTGCAGATACACAGCGTGCCTTGCAGGCGGTGGAGCGTCTCCAGGCCAAACTGAAGGAGCGGGGGGAGGTGCCCACCGAGGAGAAGCTCAGCCTGCTCAAATCGGTTCTTCAGAGTCCCCTCTTCCACCAGATCCTGGCCTTGCAGAAGTCCGTCCAGCATCTTAGAGACCAGGTAAACTGTAAAAGTATTTCACGGTATCCCCCTTTTGGCCCAGTTATCTGTAATAATGCAATAAACATAACTGTTGGACTATTTTATCTATTAACATTTTTGTTTTAATTTGCATCTAGACAATGCAATATTCATTATTCTAAGTCGAACTGGGCCTGCGAGACTGTGAACTTTTTAAATGAGAATAACAATACTGAATAGAAATGAGTGATGCTGGGCTCCCAGGGTGCTATGACAAGGTCACTAAAGCCACATTTCCACTTCAGGAACTTTCCCCAGATCTAGAAACTTAGTCCAGCAAGCAAACTGTGGCCCAGAGTCTTAATTAAGTTCTGGGGTACATTTGTTTAACCCCCCAAAAAGTAGAGGGCAATGCTGAACTATTCTGATTGGTACTTTATTTCAGCCATCCTCTCTAAAAAATCTGCAGCCACCTATTGTGTTAATCTCCTAACAACTCTTTCTTTTTAACCTTAATAGTAATAAAGGATGTGTATGAACAGCCGTCGCTTTTTCATTCCCAGTCCCTGGAACTTAATTTAGACCTTGGTCCCTGCAGTGGAAACGGACTGAGTTCGTCCAAAGGTTCCCGGTCCCTGAGGAAAGTTACGGTGGAAATGTGGCTTAAGATGTTCCAAGGTTATGGTCATTTAGAGGTCAGAATGATTTGTGTACGAGTACAAACTGGCAAAATACCAGATGGCAACACCGTACCTTGTTAGTACAGACGTAATATAAACAGAAGTAGTAGTGTTTGATGAGAAAAAAGAGCCTAGTTTGGCTATTGTTATTTATCGTCATGTTGGATGAGTAGGGGGAATATAAAGTCATAGTCCTTGTGTCTGTGAAAAGACGTGCTTGCATGCTAGTGTGACAGTGTGATCCTGCAGACAGTGTAGACACCAAACACTAACACCCATTAGCTTATCTACAGTGACATTTTGATGTTGAGACATAAACTAACCTTTAGGACTCAGACCAAGTGTAAAACTGAAAGTAATATTCCAACCGCCGTGTATTTGTGTAGCTGACAATGGATTCTAATGTTAAAGGATAGCTTCAGGTTTATCTTAACATGATATTAGTATGCCCATATGTACAGTGAAAGAGCTGGCGGTCGCTGTAACCATCAGTTATGTTCTTACTGGGGGGAATTTCATACTAAAAATACTGCGACCTTGGGAAGATACCTGCTTAAGTTGACTAACTGACTAATTGAAGGCTCACATTAGCTTTGGCTGAAGTTAAGAATGCGTTGTTGCACAGAAAGATGACTGTGGAATCGCTTTAGCAATGGAGCTCATAACAGCTGGTACGGACAAGCGACACAGCTGCAGCGAGTAATAATGGTTTTGATGAACATATGGGCATCTAAGTATTGTTTTAAGACTGAGTTTTTGACAGTGGTTACATGATAACCATGGCATCAGGGAGAAGATGGTAAAATTGAAATTTCTGCATTACCTGGATATCAGTTTGGAATATTTTCCACATCCATTTTCTTCCATGATTACTACTGTCTTTATCTCTCCTGTTTCCTGGGCGACCTCACTGATTCTGCTTTTGGCTCGTGTCAGGACACACACACACACACACACACACACACCCATTCCTTTCAATCCCCATCCCCAATAGTGTTGCTGCTATGGCCAAATTGCTGTCAGGGTTCACACAAGCCAGATATAATATGGCTACATGAGCAGAGATAGTTGGTCTAAGTCAGGAACTCTTTTTCAAGCTGATTCTCTCCATTGAGAATTGAACATTTGAGTGGAAAGGAAAGAGCTCTTAAGTCACAGTGGAAAGGGGCCAGGGTAAGCGTTTGAGAAATAGAGACGAAAATATGTGAGCTATGCAGTGGGAGGCAGGGATGCTAGAGCTTTTTTACCCCTTGTGGAATTTAGATTATAAAAGCCCTGCTGGCATTTTTGTGTGCTGGCGATTTAGCCTATTTAAAAAGAGGTACATTCCTCTGTGTGTGTGTGTGTGTGTGTGTGTGTGTGCGTGCGTGCGCTGATGCATGTTTGTTTGTTTTGCTAAGCGAAATTTATCAAGCAGCCATTCATTGTAAACTCCCTTCAGATTTCAAAATGGACCCATTGTAACAATGGTAAATAGTTGTATTTCAGAAACTGCAACAAGTCTGTGTTCTGTTTTCATAGAGCGTCCGAACCCAACTGCACTTGTGTGCCCCACTTAAGCAGAACCAATTTGGAGAGAGGGTGCATTTGTGTTTTGTTGTGAGACAAGAGCCAGACACATAAACACACATACACACATACTGTCCGTCTTCTGGCTCTGCTAGTTAGGCCTTGCACGGCCCATGTCGCTATGGTGACAAGGCCCTGCTCTCCAATGAGAGAGAGGCCGCTGTGTGAAGTGGGGCAGAAACAATTTCTTAAATGTGCAAGAACCAAACTGGAACTTTAATCCTCTTAGCCAGGCCCCAGCTAACAAAGCTCATGCATGAGGACAGCAACTTAGCAGCATGCTACGCTAACTTAGCCCGACCCATAGGGTTTTGTTTGCAGCGTGCAGCACTAATGTGTCCTGTCCAATGGAGTTTTGTTTCTCAGGACTAATCTGGGACTGTATTTAAAGGAGGCCTAATTTACTGTACATGTTTCCTCAGCTCTGAAGTTGTGCAGTCAACTTCCTAATGTAAACTCACTAGTTCACAAGGACAGCTTTAGCTTGGCAATGCCATATGCCAAATGGAGTGTTTATGAAATTATTGCTGTACATTACGTCCGTCCTTTTGAATCCTATTCAAATGGCCATAAACATTATGCCCTTTGGCTAATGAAATCGGGGGAAAAAAACACTGTTTTATGTTGTTGTCGCTTTCATGTGATTCATCTGTCACACAAGTAAAGTCATTGCAGTAATTAAAACCCAAGCATATTAAGGCATCCAGATGGCCAGTGATGCTTTCCCCCCACCATGACAGAAATATTGTATTTGGAGCCTAGTCATTGTTGGAACATCAGCTAAGAGCCATTATCTCCAGAAGGATTAGGCTGCCATAGATCCAGCTAATCGTGGTGGGATAACAAACTATCTGGCATCCCAGTGGTTTCAGACACGCAGGCTTCAGGGTTTTGGTGTCTAAAATTAAATTTGCTAAATGTTTACGTTCACAGTAGGAATGAGCCATGATGTTTTTTTTTGTTTGTTCCAACTTTTAATTGTCTTTGGTTGGATATACGCCAGTAATTGCAGCTCTCTGTAGGATCATTTTGTAGAAATTCAAAGCTGTTATGCCGCTGCATAACGGGAAATCTGACAGACAACATCACAACTTTTATAATGGAGGTCCAATCATTTTCAATTTGATCTGACGGTTATTTCTTCCAGGGTGTTACTTCACAGATTCATGTAGGTGAAAACGCACATCACTGAAACACTACATGTTTATTTCTTCATCTTTCCAGGGCAGTGTCCCGGTGTCACGTGGGAGTGACCCCGCCGATCACGTTGCCGCAGTCAAGCCCAATGGCGGCCATGTTTCCTACTCTGACACATCAGCTGCTGCACACATCAATGGCAAGACACCATCCGAAGAATTTGAACACATTATTCACTCCATGGCACAGGTAGGGGCGACTGTAAAGCCAAAACAATCATCATGCTGTTTATATACTGCCTTTGAGCTCATTGTCAGTGCAATAACAGAGCATAACATTGATCCCAGTAGATTTATTGCCACGTTTTCTTTAGTCATTGTAAAACACGTAGAAAATCTGCACCTGGAATAGGTTTTTGTTAACTCAAACCAAATATCCAAAGACAGTCGAAGGCGAGAACTACAGACTGCACGCTGCGTTCTGTTCTCTTGAGGCACTTCAAATAGACTTCTAAAGGCTGCTTGTAGCTTTGATGCTTCAGTGAATCAGCACGGGGGCCAAATTCTGTTATATGTGTGTGCATGATCCAGGGGCGCTACGTGACACACGTGGAGCTAGAGAAGCCGGTGTCAGGAGGTCTCGGCTTCAGCGTGGTGGGCCTGAAGAGCGAGAACCGCGGAGAGCTCGGCATCTTCATCCAGGAAATTCAGCCGGGAAGTGTGGCTCACTGGTATGTAAGAGTCAACATGCCATCGTTCAAAGAGCTGTGAGAACACTGAGGGACCTCAAGACTGATTAAAATCTTCAGTCACAACAAAGTCTGCGTTCCAGAAAGTTTTCCAACATTTGGCCAATCGCTGAATAAGAATGAAGGAATTAGAGAAGTCTATTTCAGACACTTGAGGACTTTTACAGATTCTCTGGGGACATTAGGGAAGTTTAGGGAGTCTTACAAACTGGCCTTTTTACCAGAAATGCAAGGACATTTTTACTGCTTGTTTCAAAGCTTTCTGATGTCTTCAATACACCTCAGACCTTACTTGCAAAATAATTATTTAAATACAAACATAACTAGATTTGTACAATTATTACCTGTACATTTTTGTCAGAAATTAAATTGGCAAAATATGTCAGGAGCTGTAAGAACAAATAACAGTTTATGAGTAGTATCCTATATACTAAATGAGGAATTACTTGATCAGAGGCTCTGACCCCATTTACAGTAGAATGTCCCTCTCTCTTCTTCTCCCTATCACACTCATTGCTTTTCCCCCTTTGCAGTGATGGGAAGCTCAAAGAAGCTGACCAGATCTTAGCCATCAATGGCCAGCCCCTGGACCAGACAGTGACCCACCAGCAAGCTATAGGCATCCTGCAGAGTGCTTCAGAGAGGGTGCAGCTCACAGTGGCAAGAGGGCCGATCCCTCAGCTGGCCAGCCCTGTGGTGTCCCGCACGCCATCCGCTGCCAGTACACTGTCAGCCAACTCCAGCGCGGTATGGATACATTCTCACACTAGTCACATGAATGAGAACTTGCATTCATACGCTTACTAATTGCTCATTTTGAGAACAAGAGAGAGTAACACACATACAGTACACACACGCACAAAGACACAAATGAGCACAGAAGTGATCCAACATGGCGATACAATGTGACAGCAGACACACAGTGAACACACATACAAGATTTGCTACTGATTAAAGGTTATCTTTATATTACACTAGACAACACTGTATTGTCAGTGAAAATGCCATCATTCTGCTTTTTTGAATGTTTATGGCTGGACAAATAAAACTTTTTGTTCAGAAGTTATTTCAGCTTTACCATTTCTAATCTTTTACTACACCTAGTGGCAGCACGTGGAGACAATCGAGCTGGTCAACGATGGCACGGGTCTTGGTTTCGGTATTGTGGGAGGAAAGACCACTGGGGTCATTGTCAAAACCATCCTTCCTGGAGGCATAGCCGATCAGGTGATTGCTTCGTCTGCCTTTTTTTGGAATTGGCTTTTCAGAGGTTTTTGGCATTGCTAATAGATGTTTATTCAGTGATTATCATTTTTTATGTTTTATGACACTTTGAATGTTCTAGAGAGATTACTCTTGTCAGTATAATAAAAAAATTGTTAATTCCAAGAAAGCACAGAATTAACTACCACTCTGTCTTTTGTTTGGCATTGACAGTGTCATTATGGGTTTGCTTTCCACTGAAACTACACAGACTAAGTGAGAAAATGTACTTTTTTTACCTCAGGATGGCCACCTGCGCAGCGGGGACCACATCCTGAGAATTGGGGACACTGACCTGTATGGCATGGGCAGCGAACAGGTGGCCCAGGTCCTCAGGCAGTGTGGCAACAGGGTGAAGCTGGTAGTCACCAGGGGTCCTGTGGACGAGAATCCCTCCGTCTCTGCTATCATGCCCGTGGTGCTCCCCACTGTCGATGAACAACAGGTGAGAGGAGCTGTTTCACAGAAATGGCATACAAATTATTACAATAAGGAAATAATTTGGAGTTCATGGTTTGGAGTATAGTAAAGCAGTTTCTCTATAGCAAATTGTCAAGATGATAATTGATTGCCATAATCGAGACATCACTTATACTCTTTTATCAAAAACACATCAGACATTAAGTTCAGGTCTTTTGTCTGCAGATTTATCTTGTCTTACTCTTGACAGCCCCCGGATAAAAGGAATTAAAGAAAATAGCAGGTTGAATAACCTGTGACTCACACTTTGGAGAACATTTGAAGTGCTTTACTTTCACAAAAACAGCACTTACAAACAGCGATTTCATGGCTTTTCTCAACACTCATCCCAATTTAAGCATTAATGAATTTCAGTGACTCACTATATGAATGACGAACATCATCCTTTGGATCGCACACATTAACTGTGTTTTTCATGGCTGGCAGGTCCAGAGCGCTCATTATCTCATTCGCAAAGTGGGAAAACGTATTTGGTGAAGATGTGGTGGAATAACTTGCTTTTCCACTGTTGCGGTTAGTGGAAGTTTATTTCCGTTCTCATAAATCTTGTCACAGGACTATGAGGAGGAGGAGGCTGAAGCATTTGATGTGAGCCTTACCAAGAACACCCAGGGACTGGGGATCACTATTGCTGGCTATGTTGGAGATAAAAATTCAGGTGAGTTCCACTGAACATACATTTAAGCTGCAGTGATTCATAGTTTTCTCGCCTATGACCAATGGATCAGATGTGTAATATGAAAGGGCAGATGAACCCAGCATTATCACCAGACTTTCCAAAAACAGAGCTAAAAAAACATGGTGAGTATTAGACATCTTGCCATTTGCCCCAACAACTTTATAAGGTTATATCAGTGTCAATGTTTTAAGCTTTTTATTTACTGCCCCAAAAATGTAAAAAAAAACTTTGAAATATATTTTCTTATCTATTGGCCTATAAAATGTAGCATTAGTTAGAATATAATGGAACCACAGACAGCCTTTTATATAACCTTGTTATATTCATTGAAATGCAAATGAATATTGAATTGCCTTAGATACACAGTACTCTGCATTCTTAATTAAGTACACTGGGTTCATCACATCATTGTTTATGACTTATATAATATTGAAACACGCTTACGAACCCTGACTTTTAACATCAAACTGAAACAACTGCTTGTTTTCCTCCTTGGTTCTTATGATTCACGGCTATGTTTCTCATCTCTTTACTTTTTTTTTTTTTAACTTTGTCCGACTCTTCAGAGCCCTCTGGAATTTTTGTCAAGAGCATAACAAAAGACAGTGCCGTGGATCAAGATGGCCGTATTCATGTTGGAGACCAGATAATAGCTGTAAGTACCCCAATTAGGCTCCTTGTAGCTATTACTATTTTCTCTGTCTTCAGTGGCATGAGGTAAAATATGCAGTGAATGTTTTATATTATCTATTATAGTGATCACATTTACTCATTTAGTCAATGGAGAGAAATGATCACATGCGTAATGAATAATTCACAATTAACTGATAGTTCTTAAAATGTTTTTTTTTCTTGTGACTTTGAATATAAAAGAGTCTTGAATTTGCACACTGAGCAATTAAGTTTTTAGTTTTTATTACTGCAAGACATTAACAATGAAGTTAAACTGTGTGTAATTTCGTGCATCGTTTGATATGTGAGTTAGTGTTGCCCTGTGTCTTTTTAAGTTCTCACAAACTCTTGTGTATTGTTCTGGTGTATTGGGGTGTGTGTGCTTGTAGGTGCTTGATTGAGTTTTGTTCTTAAGCACAAATGATAATGCACACTGGGACCCAATTTAAGAGCTTAATAAAACACTTCATTGACTTCTTTAAACTTTTTACCTACCCCTAAATGATCTAAACAAATTAAGTGAATGGCTAAAATATGTTGGAATACTCTTTTGTACCTCTGTCAAACAAGAATATGGATAGAAATTCAGCTCACAATGTCCGTGCCTGCTGTTCTGGAACTTTAATCCATGGGCTCACGAATGATCGCCCTCTGCAGGTCGATGGTGTGAACATCCAGGGATACACCAATCAACAGGCAGTGGAAGTGCTCAGGCACACAGGCCAGACAGTCCACCTTAAGCTGATCCGGCGGGGGTTCAAGCCGGAAGAGATCCCCCCTGCTGTGGCCCCCAGTGTCGCCGTCCTGCCCCTTTGTACCACCATCCCCACCACGACCACAGTCATGAGGGAGCTAGAGCTGGAGAGGAAGAAGGCTGAGGAGGATGCTGAAGGTAGGAGGGACGAAGTGAGAGAAATTTAATGAGGATAGACAAAAACACATTCCTTGCTACTCATCCTCATCCTATCAAGAAAGGTGTCATTTGATGTGTAAATGTGGCTCAGACGGGAGTTTTCATGATGCAGTGACAAGTGACTCCAAATGGAAATTTCAGTCACTTTTATCAATATTTATTAAAAATACAGGAACAGAAAGCTCCAGCCACATATGAAAAACACTCACTCGAGTCATACTCAAATACAGTCCAAACTGATGTCAACATCGTGATATATTAAGAATGAGAAAGGTGGCCTTCTATTGAATATGTTGTAGGTGTCTTTGTTCTGCTAAAGAAAGATTTATTTGTTAATGACATTTTACACTGGTCATTATATTGAAAAATAAATTGAATTAATTACTTTTTGCCTGTTAAAGCGTTCCTCCTAATAATAACAATAGGATGAGTACGCCCACGTTACTGGCCATGTTCCCCTAATAAGAGAGAGAATGCACTCATTATTAATAATCACTGACAAAGGCTAAGAGGACAAAACTATTTTCTCAGACATGGAAATAAAATTAACCACTTTGTAAAACAATTTCTGTGAAGGGCTACCCTCCTCATCCATTATAATATTGCACTGACAGAATAATGCACTGGCTGAACTGAACCAACTACCACATTTCTACAGAAATAACCCAACGCTTTCCATCATGCTGTTTAGACCCTGAACTATATTCTGTAATAAGTTCGCATGTGATGCAACACAACTAAGAAATTGACTTTGAGTCACAGTTGCATCTGCATGCATGTGCTCATATCATAGATGATAAAACATACAACAGACTGACAACTAAAACTGAGAGAATATAGACAGAGGGTAAACAGAAAGATTCTTGTCTCCAGCTGTACTGACAGGACCCCCAGGCTATAGCAGTAGCAAGAAAAGCAACTTGCATAAGTTGTCAATAGTGATAGATGGAGCTTTAAAGTGATTTGATTTGGCACCACAAATTTATAGCCCAGAAACATGCAGAAAAACTAGCAGCCAGAAGTCGACAGACAGAGGAAGCCAGTATTTTCTTGGCTGCTGTGAAACCTGTTAGGAAAAAAAAACAATTACAGGAGTTTTCACTTTTGAGTATTACAGCTAATAAAGAGGAAAGAGTCTGCAGTGCATTCCCATATTATATAAGGAGCTCTCTTGGTGTAAAGAGTAGTTTGGCGAGAACGAGAATATTTAAGTTAACTTACTGGCCATTACATCATGGGTTTGATGTACAAAGTTGAAATTGGTCATTTAATGGTTGGGAGTATGGAAATAATTTAACTACTCACTTAAATTGTTGTCAAGTCAGTGTCAGGGTTGTTGAGTTCCTTTTCACATACCAGACTAGCTAGTATTAGTTTTATGTTAGCAGTTAAATAGTGCTGATGTACAGTGTAGACCATGCCTAGCTCAGGCACATGGTTAGTAATTTCATGGGCGACCAGTTCGATGCCCTGTGGAACTCCAAAGACATAAACAGTGGCATGAAGTTGTAAAAAAAAAAGTACCAGGATCATTAAACAGATATTTGAAGTCCTGGAAAGTTTATAGTCTGTCATTATGGATAACATCAGCAGGGGCATGTATATCCTTTTTGGACCAATAGGGAAATGAGATAGGTTCCTCTTTTTAAGTGAGGGTGGTTATGAAAGAGTAGTAAATTCTCAAACTATTTAAGAATAAGTAGTAGAATAAATATTTATTTGTATTTGTTGCATGTATATGTGCTTTTAGTGGAGAATAGATGACTTTTTCCAGTGGCTCTGTGCCTATACTGTCATGTGTCTGTGCCACTGTCTGCTTCTGTCCATCTCACTGTGTGCCTCATTGTGTGTTTACAGTCACCACAGATGAAAAGCTGCTCCAGACAAAGAGTGAAGGATCTGATGTCAGCCCGGCCACGGATCAGCTAACAGAAGACAAACATGGTGGGAGGCTAGGATTCTTCTTTAAGTACACCAGCAGAGATACTGGGCAGACATCTGACAGATAAGGGTTATTGTTGTCAGGACCACACTGACTGGCAAAACACACCGTGAGGACATACGGGTGCTGTTTGTAGTTTCACAGACAGTGCAGTAGTTTTAGAAATTTGAATAGGCTTCTTCAAACACAACATTAATACATTGCAAATATTTAGAAATTAAAGTTGTATGGCTGACTCTAAATGATTTATCACAAATTTGCCTTTTATGTTGTTCTGTATATTAATTCAAGTACTTTGTATTGTATTGTTTTCCAAGGGATGAAACTAACAGCCTTTGAAGAAGAAGAACTAATGAAGAAGTGGCAAGAAATTCTAGGTCCAAGTAATGAAGTTGTAGTAAGTTTCTTTTTCAAAGTTAACTCCTTTCTCTCATACATTGTTTCCTGGGCAATTGTTTTATTATGGTAAAACTGCAATCTTAAAAGGAAGAATGACCTATTAAAAAAAATAATATTCCCTTATAACAGACAGAAGGTTTCACTAACTAAGATTTATTTTGTTTCCATGACAGGTGGCTCAGGTGGAGAAATTTAGTGAGAGCAGCGGCCTGGGCATCAGTCTGGAAGCCAACAGTGGGCATCATTACATCCGCTCTGTTCTACCTGAGGGACCTGTTGGTCGCTGTGGCAAGCTGTTCAGTGGAGATGAACTGCTTGAGGTAAGTGGCCCCTTAAATGAAATAGAACATTCAATTAACAACAATTAATGCCATATGAACAGACCTTTTCATATTGTGTTTGCCATTAATACTTACAGAGATCCAACTATATACGTGTGTTTAAAAACTAGGTTGTTTATGAGGCAGTAATGAAGATGTTTTTTTGATATGCTCCATATACACATACATTTTGGCAGTAAATTATTGAAGTATGTCAATATTGAGTTTACAGGGTGTTCCACTGCCCTCAAGTGGCTAAAAAATCAAAACAATTAACACTGCTTTGAACCCTAGATACTGCACCTATTTATAGTATGCATTTTCTGTCACAGGTCAATGGTATATCCCTAATTGGTGAAACCCACAAGGAAGTAGTGAGAATTTTGAAGGAGCTTCCACTCTGTGTATACATGACATGCTGTAGGCCTGCCCCTCACCTGCAGACGGACTTAGATGCTGTCCAGCCACAGCCAGAAGCTTTGTCCACCACACCTGAATTAAAGGTACTCCATTAGCATCGCTATACTATAGCATATAACTGTAGCTTTTTTGAATTATGTAGAATATGTATTTGGAATTTTATAGAATATGTGTTTTTCTGAACTAATCACTGTGAATTATACGTTTGCTCGTTATGTTTGAAAGGGAAAAACCTAGAGAAAGTCAATGAATCTCTTCTTTCTCAAGGCTGGAAACATACAGGCTATATTACTCACAGAGCATTGCAGCGGATGATTCATACAGTACAGTCGGAAAGTCTGCATCTCCTTGTCATGCAGTAATGTATTATGAAAAATGTTTCCCCGCCCATGCATATAAGCAAGGGAATATGATTGGAGAGCAGTACTCTTTGGGTCCTCCTCCTCCTTTATAACCCATCAACCATTATTAGCTTAGCCCGGGCTGTCAATCGCTCCATTGGCTTTCCACATTGTCAACCATGATGGATTAAGACTTAGCGATAAGCAGGTGAGTCTGAAAGTTTATTAAGACCAATTCTGGTAATACCTCAGGAGCAGTAGCCAACAACATTTGCTAGAGATATGAGACATCAAAAGCAGCTTCCCTTTGGGGAAGGGGTTTTCATCTCTCTAGCTTTATCTGTGATAATGTACTAAGGCCCTAGCATCCCAAATATATTTCCCTTTTATCTACTGCCAAAAACCTGAGCCAGAAACTCAACTAGAGGGTAACAGCCTATGGGTTGGGAGTAAAAGTGAGAAAGGAATGCTATTACATAGAGATTTTGGGCCTTTCCTCTGCAGAAGCAAATAGACCTGAGCAGCGTACTGGTTGCTGAAGACACAGAGGTGAACGCAGCAGCAGCGACACAGGATAATGTGACATGTGAGGAGGCAATAGGATCTCCTTTGGCGATGTGGGAGTTGGCGGTCCAGAATATCGAGCTTGAAAAGGGAGAAGGGGGATTGGGATTCAGCATTCTGGACTACCAGGTTTGAAATAGGCTTCATAAAAATGTGTTATTGTTATTATTTTACATGTGTATTTGTACTATTATTTCTATCTTAAACTTATAGGGCAGTAAGTTATGTTTTCATCCACATTTAATAGTATTTCCACAGAAAAAAGGACATACTGTGTAATGCTAACCAAATACATAACATTTCATTCCATAGAAGTTTAAGCCTATGATAGTTTACCTGTTGACATCCTCTCTGAACTAAACTGTACCGGCTCCTCCACAGGACCCGCTGGACCCAGCCAAGACGGTGATTGTGATTCGCTCTCTGGTTCCCAACGGTGTGGCTGAGCAGGATGGCAGACTGTTGCCAGGAGATCGACTCATGTACGTTAACACCACCAACCTGGAGAACGCCAGCCTGGAGGATGCTGTCCAGGCCCTGAAGGGGGCCAAGCTCGGCAAAGTCCAGATAGGAGTCGCCAAACCACTACCTGTAAGCATTATAATTAGTACTCTTTACTTTTTCTTTGCTTTTTCTGAAAATATGTAGAAAAATATAGAATATGGCGTGTTTTGTGGGGTCAGGGTATACATACCTGTTGGGGTTTTTAGGACTTTCATACATACAGTATTGGCCTGAAAATTTGGTCAGCATGTCAGGGATTTGGAACTGCATGTATGTGAGTGTGTGTGAGTCAGGTGTCTTTATAACATGCGACTTAGTATCCAGTCCTGAGGGTTCAGCTTACGAGGGCTTGAATTTTTCATGCGGGAAAAGGAGTGGAGGTAGGCTGCGTGGTTTAGCATTCCATCCAATGTTCTTTCAGAAGAGTTGACCAGCCTAAAATGCTCTGTGCCCTTTGTTTCATATGATTATATTATTGAATTTTCCAAGACCACAGACCCTCTTGTACATTTAAACACATTGGGGCACCTGTCAAAATATCAGGTCTGTCCAACGGCGTGTTCATCGCTCTAGGCTCCTATACTCTTTGTACAGGATGTTTCTCTCTGCAAAACTGCTTGCATTCTTTCGGCTTTAGAGCTGCATTTCTCTCGTATTGAATCTGCTGTTGGATTACACAGTGAGACCTCTGGGCTGCCAAGGTTAGCTGGATTACAGGGCTGTAGGAAGCCTCTGTGGAGTTATCCAACTCTCCTGCAGGACGTGGAATGCACTTATTTTGGGGTATTTTGCTGTATTGCCTCTCAAAATTGAGTCTGACAAGTGTAATCCTCCAATATGCCTTCTTGCTTTTTTTTATACCTGTCCGGGCTGCATGCTACACAAAATCAATACCTCTTGAACTCTTACTAAAGAATACATGTGAAATGTTCAAGAGCATTGTGGTGGTGAAATCATTCAAAGAGTGTTATGAATGAACTTCTCTGCTTGAACAAGATCAATATTTAACTTTATACTTAATGTATAAAAAATCTTAACAAACCTAACATCTTTTCCCATTCCATACTAATTTATTTGCACTTGATTTGGTCACAAAAAAACAAACTATAAAAATCAAATTACATAAAGCTGGAGACACTGAAAGAATTTCTCCACTTTCCTAGGGAATATGTGGATATTCCCAGTCTCCACACCCATATGGTGAGCAGGAAATTACTCCATCATCCACCATCCATTCATTTGACTTCAACAATATTTTGGTTGAAGAAGGAGAGGAAGAAGGACTGACTGAGGGCATCGTTTACCGAGCAGAGCCTGCATTGGTCAGTTAGCTTTTGGGAAAAAACTGAAAAAATAAACCAGAACATCATAAAAACTGGAAAACAAATTGTACTTTACATGTGATATTTGTCTATGTTCCTAAGTTTTTCCAAGAGAGATTTGTTTGTAATCAACAGTTATGTATAAGCAGTATTCTGACAAATATATGCAATTACTTAAGGGACAAATTAATTTTGTATCAGCAGTGTTTTGTAGTTTAGGGATGTAGAAATTGCAGCTCTGTGATTGGATAGTTCTATTGCTCAATAATAAAGGCCAATTTTGTATCCCAGTTTGTTACATTACTTCCATTCATTGTCACAGATTGACACCAGCGAAGCAGACCTGTCTGATGAAAAGGTGTTAGATCACACTTACACTGGGATAGAGGACGACACTTTCCAGGCGTCCATGATTGCTCTTCATGGTAGCACCTGCAGCTCAGACCTGGATTACCTACACTCCTCCACGCCCAAGGTAAGGGACTGTTTGCTTTAAACAGCAGCAACCAAATAGCGAAAGCACGAGTTGGAATGACACCCTCATTTCATTAAATGTTACTGCCCTTTGTCACAACGAGCTGTACAGCATGTAGTCATTATTCTTTGTTTTTGGTTATCGAGTGCCAAAATGTCACGAGAAATGTTTGTTTTTTCTTTGCCGAGGCACTAACAACATTACTGACTTTGTTGTTATGTGAGGATCGTAGCTGCTGCTGCTGCTGTTGTTGCTCTGGGTGCCTCAAGAACAGCAAATCCCCAAATGGATAATAAATTATAAGGAAAATAAGGAAAAGAGCAAGGGGCAAACAAACTGTTTTCCGAAGGGTATCTGTGTGCTCCCAGTTTCCCAAAGGTCGCAGCTGACCTTATTTGTAGGGTCTTCCTAAGAAATGTATGCTGCAATAGGGCGGCCTAGAGGGACAGGAATGGGTCAGGACAACTTGGGGGCATTTTATACTAGTGAGGGATTTCACAAAACAGATTTCGAATGTTTGTATGAGGTCAGACAGCTTCGTCTTCTTGTGGTGATGAACACTTTTCCCCCTAAAGCTCTAGAGAGAGGCAACAAGTCGGTTGATAAATCTCAGCTCCACTTCAGTGCCAGTAAATGGTGGAGCAGCTTTTTAGACTTGCTTGACAGTATTTAAGGTGATATTTTTTGAGGAATATTAATGCTTTTTTAAATTTCTAGTCCATGGCTGTTTATGGAAAAACAATATAAAGGTCAGCTGAGTGTTAGGTCCACAAAGTCAGCCTTCCAAGTCGCTGTCAACAAAGCAGTGAGGGCTCTTTTTCTAATGATTGCGTTGATGGATGACAGTTGTGCTACTTGTTTTTCTGATGCCTAGCTTTAAAGAGAATTGTTCATGTGCACATGCACTGGTTGTACTGCTCAACACCATAGACACATACTGGAAATATTTTTTCCACTCAAAGGAAGACTGTGTCTTTAAAATAATATCCCCGATTAGATGAATTAAACAGAACAAACATTATTTACTGGTATGAAACATTTTCTCTCAAGTTTCTCTTTCATGGCATCTTGAGCTTTATGTGAGTACACCTGGAGCGTGACAGTGAAAGTTTGACATTTGAATTGTTTTTATGATAAGGATTTAATGTCATGTGTGATTAATTTTTAGAGACGCTAAAGGAGTGTTTTAGGAAAACTGTCTGATTCTGCCCCAAGATATTTGTAAAAATGCCTTTTATTTGTTAGCCATATAAATTACTTGTTACATATTTTTAATGGTGTTATTTTACTATAGACATACCATATGCCATAGATATTATATTTTAATGCAGTGAAACATACAAAAATCTACTTTCCTGTTAATGTATTTTTTTATTTTCACAATTGTAGTATAGGTTCTTGTCATACTTCAGAATACATATACTTGTAGATGTCAGAGCCCAGTTCAACCCATATTTATTTCACTACATTATTAAAATTAATCCTCCTATTACTTGTTTTACTCCTTATATCTGCTTCCAGAGCCCCACTTGTATCACGTATTTGCATATTTTCGCTTTCTTCTAAGGATTTATACTTCTGTTCTGTGTCCCAAAGGGAAGTGCTTGCTGAGATTCATCACTCCTCAGTCGGGTTCTAATAAAGTCTTAAATGCTGTTATAATAAAAGTATATTTCGAGCATGGCAAGCTCAAGATCACCAGTAATTCCTGCTGTCCTCTATTGGCCACTGATGGCTTTTCTATGGCTCATTACAAGGAGGGCAGGATGGCGACTGAGGAAGATGAATCTCCCCCTGTTGGGCAATTGTCTAACTAACAGAGTGGAACATTCATTCAGCTGCTATGCTTTGTTTTACCCCAGCTGACAGCTCGCCTGGACTTGTTGGACGAGCATCCCCGCTTCGCAACAACGTCCGGCCTCGCAGACAACACTCTGTCGTTCTCTCCGGAGAAGGCTGCCTCTTTCACTCCTCCGAGTTTGAGAGGTCATATACCAGATTTGAATGCCTTACTGAGCAGTTCTGATCAGTACCCGGCACAGCGCTCGACCAATGAGGAACCAGTGGAGTGCTCAAACTCATACAGCACGTTTGCTGAAAAAGGGGCCAGATCTAACGTCCTGGAAGAACCTATGGAGTCTCTCCACTATGAGAAGGAACCACCTGTGTCTTTTGGAGATATGGGAGACATAAAGATTTTGATGAAGGTATAATAAGCTGTCTAATTATAAACCACAGATTTCAAGTATTTAACATAATATGTAAGTTTTCAGTTTAATTTATGTATGAGGATTACTGATTGACACAGAAAACATCACAGATTCTCTATTTCAAGGTGCATTATAACAACTTCCTTGATCTTCCTTTAAATAGAGTTTCTTAAGGTTGCATCTAACCTTCTTTGTCATCAAACTCTTTTTTTAAATCTTACATAACAAAGTTCCAAGCTTATTTGTTTTGAACTCCTTCCCGCAGCCCATTTGCCATACTTGCCCTTTCTCTAGAGAAAACCTGCTTTTGTTTGGAACCCGGCCTTGTATTTTCATTTACTTTCATGAATAACAGTATTGAATTATCACCCTCAAGGACGCGGAGGTTGGTGTGACAGAGTCAGCAGAAGACGGTGACAAGGAAGCGTTGACCTCGGGGAGCAATTTTGAAAGGACGATCACAGTTGTCAAGGGCAACTCCAGCCTTGGTTTGTGTTAATTTTCCTCACATTCTTTTATTTGTTGTTTATTTTTTTTCTCCTCAGCCTTCACAAGTGTAAATGAGTGTGCAGGACTGAAAGGCGCATTGGCCTTTACTTTTGTGTCATGATTTATGAATGCCAGATATGAAGCAAAATGATAGAAAAGATTTTTGGCAGTTTTCCAGTCTGAAAGGGTAATTTCATTGCTATACAGGGTATTTGCATTTCAAAAACCTGCCATGGGAGTGCCGCTGACTCAGAGAATACTAAGTTTTAACTTCTAAAACAAATAGGTGTTATGGAGGCACTGTTTATAATCCTCAGTTCCTCATTGAAGACGCTACCTCATTTTGCTTTTTAGCTCTCTTTGAAGGTTTCTATTTCCTGCTTGATTCCAAAATTCTACGCAATACGTTTGGGTTTTTCACTCCTAAATAGAACATACTGATGTTATTTTTATGATCTTTGCAAAAAAAAACCTGTACACTGAGCCATAAGAGAGTTTGAAAGTTTTAGATATATTATGTTTAAATATATTATGCCACACTCTGAAGTTACTCCATTGAGAGTGAGCTAAAAACCAAATCTGTGAACACTGTGATAGTTTCTAGGATAAATTGCTGGAATGAGGAAGTTTTCTTGTTTCAGAACCAATTTATTTTAAGTGGAATTTATCAATGAAACTATAGTTCTACTATATGAGTGGTAGCTTTTCATTTAAATGAGAGTTAGTCCTGAAAATGTCTCTTGATTTTCAAATGTCTTTTGATCTTTAATTTAGTACTTCATCTGTAAGTCATCAGTAATTGCTCTTAAATGTTAGAGGTTTCAACTATTTGTTATTATTTCAGATCAAAATCCCAGTTCAGTGTGTAAATTTCTTGTAATCTACCTCAAAGGGATGACAGTGAGTGCCATGAAAGATGGTTTGGGAATGCTGATCCGCAGCATAATCCACGGTGGGTCGATCAGCCGCGACGGGCGTCTGGGCGTCGGAGATCTCATCCTGGCCATCAACGGGGAGCCCACAGCCAACCTGACCAATGCACAGGCTCGTGCCATGCTCAGAAGACATTCTCTTATTGGACCAGACCTGGGGTAAGAGGCGATGATTAAACAGCAGTGCACACACGTTTGCACACACTGAAACTCTGCAAAGGAAGTAGTAGAAGTAGAAATTATTCAATACAAGTTTTTAATAATGTAAAATGTATCTGTGTTGAATGTTGTCTTACAGTTGTACCAGAATTTTGCCTAAATAAATAGTAGTTTAGTACAACATGATGAAATTGTGCTTTAAATAAGGAAATGTATGAAATACTTGAGTCTTAACCTTATTTGTTTGATTGATCTGCTGATCTGATTTCAAATCGGTTAGAATTTAATATTTAGTGTTTGTACTTGATTGTGTACGTATTTTTTACTATGAACTGGGTGATGTAAAGAAGTATGTATGAGTCGAAACTTACCAAATGCAATCAGACTCAATGTAGGGAATACAATCAAAAGTGGTATTCAGTGATTCTAAAAGCCAAATAGGCCGTATTTACAATAAGTAAATTGTATTACTGCTGCACTACTCTTCCCATCCTTTAAGGGGAAGAAAGTTGGATGTGGTATTTCACAAGTTCCGCTTGCTGAACTCAACTTGGCAGTTTTTTTAGCTTCGGTGCATAAAAGCCAACTCTTCACATTCTAGATCTGCTTGTGCACCTGAGGACGATCTGTGCCCATTTTATGTGTGAGTATTCCACGCCGGTGGTGTTTCGGCAAGAGAGCTGCCATCTTGGTTCCCTTCCTCTCGTTCTCTCCATCTGCTGTCGGGGGGGGGGGCTTTATCGCAGTCTGTTAAAGAGCTTTATCCAGACACAGAATTAGATAGTCAGATCAGTGTCAAAACAATGAGGACAACGAGATATAAAAGTTTTGGAATTCAGTTGGTTTAGATGCTGTCTTTAATATCATTCAAATACATTGATTAACATTTTAATGTGTGACACCGAACTATATTAACCAACACACATTTCAAATCTGTCTTGTGGCAACCAAACTTAAAATAGTGTCAGTACATATTATTAACACACATCGACAAAAAATGATGTCTGGATAAATCTTGTCTGACTGCATCAACTTGCTGTACTCACACTTGCTGCACAACTTCTTCTTTCTCTGTGACTAACATGTTCCATTCTTACCTGGATGTTTTGTGCCACTGACATCTCAATTTGTAAACTCTCTGTTTTTACATTAATCTTTGGCGTTTAAGCTCCTCCGTGTCTCGCACTGCATGTTCTTAATGAACTCGCTCACCCATTTCATTATTTCACCGGGATTAATTTCCCTCTCTGTCCGCATGCCATCATGTGTAAAAACCAAATCAACCCATCTGTTGAAGATCTGTCAGCTCCACTCAGATGTGTTATTGTGCCCTTCAGAAACAACTTCACTCTGACTTTTTGGGGGATTTTTGGGAGGAAATGGGACTTTTAAGTGGGTGTCAGATTTTGTCAGCTAGCTTTTGGTTCATTTCTCAACATGAATTAGTAACCTGCTCATGAATTAAATGATTGATACACCCTTTAAAATGTGTCACATGTTCCTTCACACAGTAAGTAATAGAAGACTTGATTTGCTCAGACATTCATGAAGGTAAACATCTGTTATGAAAAGTCAGACGTCAAGGGCTGATGTACAATTCATTGCATTTCACCTTGGACTGGAGAATACATTGGCGAAATAGACAGTTCAGTATTACTGCAGTCTTGTGCTTACAGGTAAATTTGCTATAGAAAAAAAAAACAAGCTTCTGGATGTAAACAAGCAGCTGATTTGAAAAAAAGCCATTTTTTTAGATAAAAATCCCTTTTTTTAGATAAAAAGGGGGCAGTTTTAATGCTTTCATATTTTTTTGCACTTGACTGCCAGTTCTTCTCTATTTTTTGCTAAATTACCATCTGAGTACATAATGAACAGGAGCATAATTACCACTAAGGTGGGTAATGGAGTTTCAAAAAATGTGGGATGCCAAATTGTTTGCTCTAAGAAATGACTCATTTTTGTGTGTGTGTGTGTGTGTGTGTGTGTGTGTGTTCAGCATTACATATGTTCCAGCAGAGTATCTGGAGGAGTACAAGGCCAGCCTAGAGCAGCCTAAAGAAGATGTCTTCTCTGAGACATCTCCAGTCCCAGTCCCTGTTCCAGCTCCAAAGTACGTAATTCCACAAACGGGTAAAATGAACTGGCTTGTTTACAAGGAATCTCAACAGGGCACATTTTATGTTTGCATTCAGTGCTTCTCACCAAAGCACACTGTGTGTGTCTGTGAGGTCCAACAAACATGTTGAATGTATTTAATGGTGCAGTGTTTACATGCATGTTTGCTAGCTAGCAAGCCTTTGTTGGCACATTGCTACCTCTTTTTGTGTTACCGCCACCAACTGTCAATCAGTGGTATAGCATGAAAACATTACTACATAGCACTACCAGTGGTCAAAAACTCCCTTAAGATCAAAAAGGTACCTTTAAGTCTTGTTATCTAACTGAACTTATTGTTTGGTTTTCATATCTAAAGCTTGAATGAACCCCTGGCAACCATGTGAATCTAAGTTTTTAGAGTTTTATCAAACTCTTTCTTTCTACTATTGTTTATTTAGAGATATTCCTAACCTCCCCGAACGGGAAGATGGAGAGGGAGAGGAGAGTGCCTCTTACAGCAACTGGAACCAACCCAGGAAGTGAGTACACACCGTATCTACACTTTTGATCTAATTTTGTGAACAAGTCCATGACAGATACGGTTTGAAGAACTTACATGGTAGACTGAGGGCACAAGCATGAAGCACACAAAGAAATTATTTTCTGTCCGGCATCCAATAAAAGATTTACAGATTCAAATCCGTACCAGAGTCACAGCTTTGAAGTGAAAAATGTCCGTATGTAGCATGCTGATATTGGTATATTCCTCAGAGTGGAGCTCTTCCGAGAGCCAGGCAAGTCCCTGGGTATCAGCATCGTCGGCGGCCGAGGGATGGGCAGCCGACTGAGCAATGGAGAGGTCATGAGGGGGATTTTTATCAAGCACATCCTGGAAGACAGTCCCGCCGGACAGAACGGGACCCTGAAGACCGGAGACAGGATTGTAGAGGTGAAGGAACATTTCAGGTCACAAGATCTAATAAACTTGAGGTTTTTTTTGTGGAAGATTTTAATCAATAAGGAGACTTGTTTTCATACTACTAACCTTGTCCCGTGTTATTTTGTTAAGATGCAGTCATTTGAGAGACTGCCAAAAAAAACCCTGAAGAATTTAAATGCTAAAAAAAACCCAACCCATGTGGAGTGGAGAGTTTGGGCACGTGACAGACTCTTCTCCCTGATATCTCTTGACAGGTGGATGGAGTAGACCTAAGAGATGCCAGTCACGAGGAGGCAGTTGAGGCCATACGCAGGGCAGGCAATACTGTCTCCTTCTTGGTCCAGAGTATTATTCACAGGCCCAGGGTAAGTCTGTATAATAGTGTCAAAGCAATTACTGGTAACTACCTCATAATCTAAAAGGTCACAATTTCCTCACTCTGTAGCTTCTTTTTCACCTCAAGTTAAAGTTTAGTGTTTCTGCACAGACCATTTAGGGCACTTTCAAAAACCAAAATGCACAATATACAACCCCTGTAGTATTTGGCTGGCTTTTGAATGTTGAATGTAATTTTGAAATATTTTATGAGAAAGACAACAAACCCAGCATGGCATATTAAATATATTAGCAAGTTTTAACCTCTAAGTGCAACACTCATTGAAAATCCCCGTATCAACAGCATCGTTTGTTGTTTGAAAGTGCCCTCAGGCTTTTAAAGCATGACTAAGTAGTTTCCAGCTGGGGCTGCTACTGGCTTGGTTCCAGTGTCAGATCTCTCATAGTCCATCACTTTTCATGCATTGTTATGTGTGAGATATTCCCACGTGCTCTCCTTAACATTCTGCTTACTCATTAAGCTTTGTAGCAACTTATAATGTAATGTAGCATGTACAGAGCAACAACAAGAATGCATCTTAATGGACACTAATGCTCAACTGTGGTGACTAAAAAATATTGAAACGGCTATAATCAATATTTTTATAATAACAACAGAGGGGCGTCTCGCAGTGACGTACCCTCACATAAATATCACCCTAACTCTGCAGTTTCTTTCAGATATACGGTTTATAGCGTCTTTCAGCTCATTGTTTTGGCTCTCCAGCCTGCAACTCTTTTAATCTTTGTTTCATGCTCATTGCTCTTGTAACATTATTTTCCACCATAGCTGGCAGCTGTTTTGAGCGGAAAAAGCCCTAAACATCTACTGTATGCTAAATGCTCAGTGCCAAACAGCAGACAAAGTAAGCAACCAGCTGGTAACAACGGTTACAGTAGCCAGATATTTCCCTCAGGAGTTGATGAATATACCAATAACACAGGTAAAAGGAGAAAGGATATAAGACTTTCATTAATGATTGCCCCAAGTGGCAAAAAAAACAAGTTAATGCAGGTTTTAAATACATTTACATATTTGCTAAAAACCTGGATGAGAAGATTGATAGATCTCGTAGCTGTCTGCTTGCTAAATTTGATGCAAACCATACAGCTAGCAGATGGTTAGCACAAAGGCTGGAAACAGGGTAAACAACTTGCCTAGATCTGTCCAAAGGGAGCGAAACTCTTCCGACCAGCACTCACTAATTGGTGCAGCAGGTTGTGTTACTTTGGACGGAGCCAGGCTAACTGTTTCCCCCTGTCTCCAGTCTTTACGCTAAGTTAAGCGAACCCTGTGCTGGCTGTAGCTTCATATTTAGCATACAGACTAATTTGTAGGAAGTAGGCAAGTAAGTGTATTCCCCAAAATGCTGAACAATCCTTTCAAGAGGTTAGTAACATATGTCCACACAAAATGTCTCTATACTTCATGTCTGACTCCAGTTGCTACATTATGAGTTGCCTCAAACTTGCATGTCTGTTCCTCCACACTGCTTTCCCAGCCTGAGTCAATATATAGCTCAGCTCCATCACCTGCTGTAGAGCACCACACCACCGCTTTCACATGCATGCCACATCGCACGCGTCAGGTAATCCGTCTTTCTCTTTTTGTCTCTCTCATTTCTATTGCATCAGCTATCCATCACGGTTAATCTTTGCTGCATTATCTCTCCAGACTCCCCTTTCTTCGCTGTCTCTCACACTGTTAGCTGAGTCTTTCTTCTTAACTGCATCTTTGACTTTGATACACACAGAAAGTGCGTATTGACGGAAATAAAGACAAACTGGAATTGGAGACACCCTCTGGGAGAAAACGAAGCGGAGGTTTATTTTAATATGCCGACATCCTATTCTATTTTCTATCACAGAGCAATCTAACCGTAACAATGACATGACCCACAATGATGTTTTTAATCGAAAGGGTCGGAAAATGGTTAAATCAATTTAGTCGCTGGCACTAGCAAGTATTTTAGAAAATGTCTGTGCTGAAGGTGTGTTATGCCGACATTCAATACACACCCAGACTAGATTCTTAATGCAATTTAACCATGGGAGGTTATTGAAATGTCATTGCTTCATCTAATAAAGGAAGTCATAAAATAAACAATAGAAATGCAAATAAGGAAATTCATACCTGTGTGGCTACACGGCCGTGAAATACTACTCCACACTGCTCCCACCCAGCATATTGGAACAGGCAAACATTTAGGAAGGAGACATATTTTCAGTTGGCTATAAAGTCGCTGATGTTAAGTTGCAGCTGCACTGAAATTCATAACAATGGACTTAATAGATTTAAAAATATTATTTTGATTGGATCATATCTCTAAGTGCTGTCGGCAGGTCAGTAATGCCGTTTTTAAATGCAGCCACTGGGGGCCACCTAGAGAGTATAATAGCACATCCTTGCTGCTTCCCTTTAAGTTTAAAATCCTTCTCTTGTAAGCAGTGAATAATCTCAAGGTAGCCCGGAGGAATCTTTGAAACATTTTGTTAAAGTATTTCAGAGAAAGAGGCTTTGCTCTGATTTTTTTTGATGTAGAGGAAACGGCTGTCCTCAAGGAAGCCGCTTGCTGTAATGGTTACTCATTTAAATAAAAACCTGAGGTGCTTCTGTCCTCAACACACTGCCCCTTTTTCTTTTCTGTTTTTTCTTTTTTCTTTTTTTCTCCCGGATGGCCTCCGATTCAATTTTGTCAGAAGGGCTTAGCCATCATAATAAATATTCGTCATGTTGTCAGCTTGTTGCTCCTGTGTGTTGCTTTTTAGAAGCCGCCCCTGCCCTTTCTGCAGCTAAATAGCCACCGCGGGTCAAGTCTCTGCTGCACTAATCAAACCTACTTAGCGCCTGCCCTCCCTCAGGTTAGAAAGCTACCCCATGTCTGTGTCTGCCTGCTCGTGTATGGGTTTGCTTCTCCTTGACCTTCTGACTTGTTCAAATTTGTGTTAACAATGAGCTGCTAACACGAGTGAAGAAGAGGATGAAAGAAAGCATGCATGTGTTTGTGTGGAGTCTTGGTGGGTTAGTGATCAAAAATAATTTGGTTTCTGTGTGCATGTGTGCAACGCGTGGGCATTTAATTCAGTGTCATGACAGCTATGAGGTGCATTCAAATTTGTATGAATTGTTCTAAATACCTCTGCTGTCATGAAAATTACTATGCTAAACTATTTGTCCTATTTCTGCCTCTGTATATATGTGTGTGCCTCACTGTTATTTTGAATCTATACTATGTCGACTTATTTATATCTCTCTTCCTGTGCTTTGCTGTGTCCCTCTGTTGCGCCACCCAAGAAGTAAAATCATAGAAGAGGCTTTTACTTTAAGTGCGTTTTATTTTTCCTCCTGTCCCAGTCTGTAAAGGCCCAATTTTTCCCAATTATCCCTCAAACACTGTCCCAAGTGTCTCTCTGCCAGGGTAAACAAGACAACTTGATGCGACAGCCGGCACTCAACACAAACACTGTTATGTGAAGAATTATAAACTGCAATATCTTTTTTATTTATTTCTGTTTTGTTTTTTTTCCAAAATGGCAGACTTCTTTGGCAAAACTTTTAAAAATCATTGGGAAGTAATGGTCAAGCTTGGATTGGGATGTGGTGCTGGATAAGCTTTTTTCCCTCAACACATCAATGTTTTGGCGTGGTTGCGTGTGTGTGCCTTAGTTCTTAGTCTGGTTTTGCCAAGCTTCAAGTTAGCTGAACAAAACAAGTGAAAGTTTTTCTTTAGTTAAATCTTCACTTGTAACATTTATTAACAGATGGTTTTTCACTATACAGCGTATAGCGCATAAGTAGTTTTAGCCATTCAGAACTCTTATGACTTTGTATGAACTTGTCAGTATTTATGAAAATCCTATTTCTGCTTTACGCAGCAATATGATACAGTATCATTCACTGAATGAAGTGAATATTATGAATGTGCTCTCTCATACGTAAGTGATTTAACTTCATGTCCGTCTTTTACAAAGCAGTCGTTGATAACAGACACCAGCGAGGAGAAAGTTGCAGCGTTGACGAGGGACAACAAGGACAAGGTTGGTGTTTTCAATTACCCTCCAATGACTGTATTGTATCAGTGCTTTGTATTTGTCTTTGTCCCACAGCAGCAAGAAACCAGGTTTGAAATATAGGAGTGTTTTAAGTCAAATTTGTGTAGGCGTGTTCAACTTTTCCCGCCATATGTTTTCACGCTGGTATATGCCTGTCAATAGATGTGGGTGTCAGAAATGTGTTGTCTTCTAAAGTTGTTGCCCTTTGTCTCTTCTCTGTAGGAGGGTGACAGTCACAGTAGACTTTACCTCCGCCTCTCCCCAACTAACCCTTTCACTCCTACCCCGTTTAAGGTTTGTGGGTCTCTGTGTTGTGCTTTTCACTTTCTGTGTACGCCTGTACAGACGTGTTGATATACCGCAATACGCTTCACGTATTGAATGTATTCTAACATGCTGTACATGCGCACACTTGTTCATGTCCTAACATCTCCTCCATCTGTCTGAAATCCTTTGTGCCTTTTTGTGAAATCAGAACCTTTTTGTGTTTGTCTTTTGATCTTTGTCACTTCATTAACCTTCCAGAATCAGTACTCACTGTTTTGTATTTAAAAAGAACAACAATTAAAGTGATTTATTGCTCTTGGTTTTCAGGTAAGTGTATATATGAATTTCTGATGGGTGAATATTTGATTTTAAGTACTAATTTAATAAGTAACTACATAAATTATAATTGAGTAATTAAATATAGTATTTTTGACTAAGCATCATTGTATTATAACTGAAGGCTGTAGCTTAAATAAGCTGATTAACCTAGCTCTGATTTGAGCCTCTGGTATCTATATGGAACCATAATTATTCCTCAGCATAAAGCAAACATGTCCTGCTATAACAGATGAAGCTGTTAATGTAACCCAAACATATGGCTTCTGTTGATCACATCGACAGCTTTCATGCGCCTTCCTGTCTCCATACACACTTTATTTCAAGTTGATTCAGACTTAAACGCAAAGATAAAGCCTTCGTCTCTCTCTTTAACTTTCACTAATAAGCTATTTTCAAACTCCTTCTGTGGCGTGACAGCCGGCAAAGCGTGAGGCGGCGAAGGCATCTCCCACCAGCGCTGTCCTCCTCCTGCCAGTGGTGCCCCATGTGGGAGAGACTGATACAGACACGCTGACAGAGATTCCTGGCAGACCCACTGAGGCAGAGGAGGAGAACGAGGTGGTGGAGGAGGTGGAAGAGGAGGAGGATGAGTTTGGATACAACTGGAGTAAGTTCAGTTAATGTTTTTCTAAGGGTGTAATTATTGATTCTGTAAGGAACAATGGTAAAAAAAAAAAAAAAAAAGTTTTCTCATATTTTTTACTGAATTTCACACTGGTATATCATAAGTAAATCCTGGTATTATATTCTCCAGGAAGTTTCACCTAAACCGAAACAATAGTTTAGTTTATAGTGTGCTTTAACTGCCACTAGAGGTCCTCCAAGTTACACATTTGCCTTGCCTGCTCATAAATCCACCCAGACTCGGCAATAAAAGAGCACTGATTCATATGCTTAAGGTTGTCGTACCTCAGCAAAACCTGAAGGACTCAATGTACCAATTAGCATCCTGCAGATGTCAAATGTAGGATAAACTCACTCCTGCAAGGAGAACGAGGTCACAGTCACTCACATTCAACTCAGGAAACTAGCATAAAGGACATACTTCCAGCCTCCAAACACCTGGGACTGTGGTGAATATATGTGTGTGTGTGTGTGTGTGTGTGTGTTAGAGTGTTAGAGAGTGTGCGCCCATCCTGCGGGGATAAGATTGATGAGGTTGGGCCCGGGGAGGTGAGTTGTGGAGATTAGTACAGGACTGATGGTTCAACAGTGGCAGGGAGCCCAGAACAACAGGAGCCCATTGGTCTGAAGAGTGGCTATCTAACACACCAGAGACAGGAGAGGTGGATGGAGAATGAGTGGGGGGACTGGAGTAAAAAAGGGAAGGGATAACAATAGAGACAAGATTGAGACAAAGAGATAGAAGGTGAGCCTGAAACAAAAACAAAAAGAAAAAAAACGACCGAATCCAAATACCGGCCCCTTTTTCTTTGAGCAGCATGACGTGAACTGATATGGGAGCCCAGGCTTACATCTGTCTGCCATGACTTTCAACTGCCTCTTTCAGAGAACATAATCCAGCGCTATGGCAGCCTCCCAGGTGTCTTACACATGATCGAGCTGGAGAAAGGCAAGACGGGACTAGGCCTCAGCCTGGCGGGGAACAGGGACCGCTCTCGCATGAGCGTGTTCGTGGTGGGAATAGACCCCAACGGGGCGGCCGGCAAGGACGGACGAATGGTGGTGGGGGACGAGCTGCTGGAGGTAAGATGTGTATTGATTATGGTTATCAGCTAAAGTAAGCAAAGTTTGCGGGGCATTTGACACCTTAAACTACTTTTCTTTTCTGTTGTATGGGTTTTGATGTGACTGTTTTGTATTTAAAAAGTGTATCTAATTCCATTTCCTCTATTTTTGTATCCTCTCAGATCAATGGGCAGGTCCTTTACGGCCACAGTCACCAGAATGCTTCCTCCATAATCAAGAGCTCTCAATCTAATGTCAAAATCATCTTTGTCAGGTATAAAAATAAGTTTTTCTTATATAAAAGCTAAAAAAAAAAAGATTCCATGGCAACTGAACCAACATGTCATTGTCAGACAATGCTTACAATGAAAACTGCCATGAGAATCCTTAGTGAGTCTATTGTAATGCTTTTTAAACGTCAATAGAGGGAGCTATTGTAATTCAACAGAAGGATACACTTGTGACTTGGTGAAGTATTAAAATCCTTATTCAGTGGTGACTAGCAGGTTTTCCAGTAATTTTATATCTATATATTTGGCATTTCACCATAAAAACATGATTCTCGCACCACTATAGCTCCAAAGCCACACTATGTTGTAGTTGTAAGCTGGTTTTGTGTGTATAATGAGGAAAACAGAGTATGTTGATGTGTGCTGTTGATGTATGTATTTTCCCACAATGCAATGCACAAAGGAAATCATAGCTGGACTGTGCTTGACAAGTTCTAGCCCCTCAGAAAATAAATGTCTTTGTTAGGTGTCATTTTAATTTAGCAGTTAATTGATGGCCAATGGCACAAGTATTCTATCATTTCCTGCCAGCACAAAGGAGTGAGTGTTTCTTTTATACTAACTGCAAAAACTACAGTATACAGCATTGAGTTGGGCCATAGCAGCTGACATATCAGCAGAGTCCGACACTTATGACCCTTGACCCTCCTGCGAACCGCCTCTGTCAGGATCACTCTACTTAACCTTCTACTTAACTCACATCCCTTTCCTCACTCCCTGAAAGAGAGACACTGTGATCAGCCACGTAAATCATCGCTCCGCTGTCACAAAGCAGAGGAGCGACGATTTACGTGAGTTATGGCTGTTTGGAACAGGAATACGGAGGCGCTGAACCAGATGGCCGTGGGACCAGTGAGAGAACACGAGGGAGACACAGCGGAGCCCCACGCTGAGGTACAACTGCGCTTATGGCCAAACACATAACACAGACGTTGCACATATGCACAAGCGCTTCAACAGAGAGCAAAGTTCCAACTGCATAGGAAGCTATGACACACAGACACAGTTATTATTAGCACCCATTATTAGTACTTTTCTACCCTTAAAATGTTTGGTTTCATGCTCCCTTATTTGTTTTCTTGCTCATAAAAGTCTGTGTGGTCCTGGAGATCCCAACCTCCCATGCCTGTGTGCAACTCCCAAGACATCCAAAAACCACTAACAGTTGTGTAGACACACACACACTCAGTACTGTACTCCCACCAGCTAACGGACACGCACACAAGTTTCAGTCATTTACTTCGTACTGTACCAACTGCTGCCTGTTTCCTCACAGCTCCAAACAACTGCTGCTAATGGCGACGCCGATATTTCAAAGTATATGCATCACCTCATAAAGCTGAAGGTGAGAAACACTGGACCCCTCCTCCCCACACCCATATACACATAACAAGCACATAAGAATCCTGTTCCTTTTGAAATACCAAAATAAAGACAAGAATTGAGGGAAAGTAAGAAGCAATGCAATAATGAGAGAGGTATACACAAAAAAGTCAATGGGGTATGACCGAGGAAGAGAGCGGGGAGCTCACAGGAGCAGTCGAGCCTGACGAGCTGCCAGGAAAGCGAAAAGAGACAGAACATTGTTAAATAAAAGGCTGACTAAATACACCAACATGTGAATAGGGGAAGAGCAGTTCCAAAGGGACATAAAGGCTCAGTTCACCCAAATAATAAAAGAAGGAAAACATTTTTTTTTACCCCTTGTGGTGTCTATTTTCTAGCTATTCAGTTTTATTTGGCAAGATTTTCAGATGTCAAGCACTGGAAAATATCACAACACATTTGAAGAACATTGAAAAGCAGTTCACACTGAAAGCGGTTTAGCCTGTGGATTATTTAGAATCTTTTCTTTTTCATTCTTCTATCTGCATGACTACATACAACAATAGTTCATTTGATAAACATGATTTTTTTTTGTGCGTGTGATTCGGGTGAACTGACAATGAGACAAAGAAAAGAGAAGGAGAAACAGGGAACACAATGTTGCTGGAAAAGCTACAGCACCTGGACGGGAGCTCCAGTTGGGGACTATCCATCTGGTACATAAGGCGACAGGGGGATGACTGTGTAAATGCAGCAGCATCTGGCTAAAACCCTCCCTATGAACAAAAGATCAGAAGTGGGATGCAAGGTGAAGCTGGAGATAATTATCTTTCTGGAGATAATTGTCAGTTGCAGGTCCAGCTCTATTATGTAGCACATGTTGGCAAGTTCCGTGTGTCAGTCCGCATGGTTTTGCTCCACAAGGTGGCCGTGTTCAGATGTGTTAAATGGTGTCAATTTAATGTAGTTGTGTGGTTTTTTTTTTATTCATGCACTAATGTTGTTCTCCAATAGGAGGACGGAGGACTTGGCATCACCTTTGAGGAGGGGAACACTGAGAGTGGAGTTGAGATTCAGAGTATAGCTGAAGTGAAAGGACACACAGGCAGAGTATGTATTGCATCCTGTAGCTAATGGTTTGTGTATATTTTACAGCTGATTTTTAACCAAACATACAATGTGCTCTATGCAGGAGGGCTGCATGAAACCAGGGGACAAACTCTTAGCCGTGAATGGTGAATCGGTGCTAGGCTACAGTGTGGAAAAGGTACAGTGTGTCAGTGGAAGTTAACTGTATAATCATGTGATTAAACAGCATTATTTGCAGTATTTCAAATTACATTTATTACATTAGAATTCTCTAGAAAATAAGAGTCATAATGTAAAGCTGGAGTCTGATAATTCTACTGTGTTTTAGGTCAATTCTCTACTGAGAAAAACCAAAGGTCCAGTGAAGCTAACCTTCTCTACAAATGAGATCCCCTCCTCCTTCTCCTCTCCCCAGTCAGCCTATCAGGACATTGGTTGCTCGGATGGCGTCCTTGCCAGTCTACCCAGCATGCCGAGCGCCACCACAACTACCCTGAGTGAACCAGAGGCAGAAGCAGGAATCAGTGAGCTTGCTTACAATTACAAAATACCCCATTTTCTGCTTCCAAGATGAATAGATAATACTTTTTTTTTTTTTTACACCGTACCTCACTTCTCTTACTTCCTCTATTTCAGGTCCGAGTCGCTCGTCCACCCCTTCCACTCTGACCTGCGACCCGGCGACCTGTCCCATCATCCCAGGCTGTGAGACTACCATCGACATCTGCAAAGGCCGCACAGGCCTGGGCCTTAGCATCGTGGGAGGCTGTGACACCCTGCTGGTAGGAAACAAAAAATATGACCCTGGATCTGCTAATGAGGCCATATCACTTTACCAAAGAGCTATTCTGATATGAGAAGACAGCAAAAGCAAAAAAAAAACAGCAAAAACATTCTTGGAGTTAAGAATGAGGTTTTTTAAAGAAATAATTGATTTTACAACACAGTTTTGCTGATTTTACAGTCTGTAATCCTTTTGTGGAAATATAGAGTAAATTATTAAAAGTTATGTGCCTGTATTTTTAAGTTACCACCCACTTAGAATCTTTAGTGGTGGTATAACTGATGCTGGAAATAGCCGCGGCGGCACAGGAATGTAGGAAATGATGTTGTCACAGCCTTCCTCCTCCTCTGCCTGCCGTCCTCTCCTCAGCCTCATCCATTCTGTCTGCTCAGTCAGGCTTGGGGTGGGGTGGGGGGGTGGCAGGAGGGGCAGCTCTTTGTCTGGCCTCGGCCGCAGCAGACAATATCCAGCCCTGGAATGTAACCTCTGAACCCCAGATGACATTGGAACGCAGAGAAAACCCACTGGAAGTCAGGAACACACACAGACACTCCGAATGAGAATCTAAACTAATGTATGTTTGCTGTAAAACGCAAAGACAATAAATCACACACGTCATTTTTACAACCATCCTCTCCTCCAACATGGTGTTTGTACAATTACCTCATCCCCCCACCACTACCTACTATTTACGCCCTGTATCCTGTTCACCTTCTTCTCCTATTCTGTGCTTATTTCTCTCACTCCAGGGGGCCATCATTATCCATGAAGTTTATGAAGAAGGGGCAGCCTCTAAAGATGGCAGGCTGTGGGCAGGAGACCAAATCCTCGAGGTGCGGTATAATGAGCATCACGTATGACCCAGATAAAAAAGAGAGGGTGTCTTCAGACGTGGCTGCCTGAGGAGTTTTGACATGAAAGCTTGGGTTTCCAAGATGGGTCAAAGATCAAACTGTTTGATACAACAAGTGTGTGATGAATGAATAAATCTGTGTTTATCTTAAATATGTAAGGAAGCACAAGTATATATTTCTGTCTGCCTCACGTAGAAAGACAAGTTAAATATCCTAGCTCAACTTGGATTTGCCCTCTGTTTGACCTCATGCTTTGTCACAGAGGGAGGGCCAGGGTGGGGCTCAGGAGTTTAGTTATGGTAGCTCAGTCAGTAGACCTGAATTGAAAGGCACACATGCATGCACACACATACACACACCCCTTATGACTTAATTGCCCTCTACTATTCCTTTCTGTCACCGAGCCAAGCTGCTGTGTTTAGAAAACAGGGTCAGAGAGGATAAGTTGAAAAGAGTGGTTTTCCCAGTCCGCAGCAATGCCGTTAGCTGGGAAAAATCCTTTGCACGTCGGCCGACGGCGAAGGCTAATGGGGTATTTCCTCGCTTTAATGTGGTTTTAAAAAAAAAGAAGAAGCTGGACGTCAACCCTAACATTGACCACTCCAGCTTCTCACAGACTTCTGAGGGAAGGCTGCTTCCCTTTAGTGAAATCTGAGTGTTGTAACATCACCCTGTGATTTTAATATATTATGATCCAGTTTTCAGACATCTCAGCAGTTTGGGTTTCTAGAGAGGAAATGTAACCTTGGTTGTTAAAGGAAAATTCTGTTTTAGCATTAAGCCTTTAGCCTGTTAGCACTTTTATAGTCCTCTGCTACATTCACTTTATATCAGGGATAGAAGAATAGGGCCCCAAATATGGAAATTGGCCCAAACATTTATTCTTTCAAAATTAACCTTAAGTGTAGGTCAGAGCATTTTTGTAAATACAAACAATAGTTAGGGTTTTGATGGAGTTTTTTGAGTGTTGACAGCACAACTCTTTTTTTCTCCCGTTGCAGGTGAACGGCATCGACCTGCGTGCAGCCAGTCACGATGAAGCCATCAACGTGCTGCGGCAGACCCCGCAGAGAGTCCGGCTGGTGGTCTACAGGGATGAGACCCAGTACAAGGAGGAAGACCTGTGGGACTCGTTCACCGTAGAGCTCCACAAGAAGCCCGGCCAGGGCCTCGGCCTGAGCATCGTAGGCAGGAGGTGAGCGAGATTTATTATTAGTGCTCCCGCTTAATGCCTAGTATGCACTTATTAATGTGCAGCAGGATTTATTACAATGCTGAATGAGCGTTATATATAAAAACTGTGGAAAAGGTGCTTTTTCATTAAAGAAAGAGCTTGCTTTTGGGGGTCACAAAAAGGGTTAGCATATTAGGAATAGCAATTACTAGCATGAACAAAAATAATTAGTAATCAAAGAGTCAACATAGTTTGACAGTAACTGTATGAATTTTCTTTTTTAACGCAGATCACGGGACCAGAGGTAATCATTATTAAAAGACCTGTATATGTGAATAGTGTGTAGCGTGTAGAGAGTTAGAGAAATAGATATCTCATACATCCATAAAAACAGTTAAAAAAGATATTTTTAGACCAATACATAATAAACCATATGAGGTGCTACCGTGTGTTTGATTTTACCATCTTTAGGCCTTTTGCTTATCCAACCCTAAGCATAAGTGGGTTTAATTAAAATGGTAAGATGTCATATTTGGTGTGTATACAAATTCCTTTACTTACTTTCCTACATGTCTACAGTAACTGTAACACATCATGACTAAATGATGGTTTTTCAACGTTATTTTATGGTTGAATAGCTGTATACCTGGTTAAACTTTACAAAAATGCTTTTGATTAGCCATCAGATCATTTTCAAAGAAACTAGTGGTGTTCCTGACTCCGGTGTATTGCCAGAGACGGGGCTGTATCAGGGAGCGCTGCCGCTTTCGTTCCCATCAGAGCTGCTGAGGAAGATTTAGGCTACTAGGACGTGAGCTGGCAAACTGTAGACCGTCTTACACACAAACTCGACTCAGGCATCTATTCTCGCTGTAGCATTCGTGGGGAAAATGCCCGCTGGTCCACATGCTGACAGTCTGTTGCTGTCAGGTGTGTGGTGTGTGGTGATTGATATCTCACCTCCGGGAAATGGCTTACACAGACCATACCTTCACACGCACTGCTGCCCAAGTTTTGGATTGTGGCTTGAACAGCGTGGACGGCAGTAGGATGATCAACTTTTTTAATATAGTTGTAAATCTTTGCTTCTGTCACTGTGGTTTTGCTACACAAGTGGAAAAAAACAAAAATGCTCAATAGGATGGAAAAGGCAGCAACATAAGAGACAACCTAAAACCCTTGGCTAAAACGGAAAGTGCAAGCTAGCAGTTAGTGGTGAGGAGTTGTGACAGCCAAGTGTCTCTGGCACCGGGGACCGAGTGGGATCAGGTTGCCTTGCTTCACAGCTTCTGCTTGTGTTAGTTTTATCCACGTGGAGATTGGCACTTCAGATATGCAATGTCAACGGTAGAGATGTGCTTTTGGAAATAGTTGCTCAGAGTGAGCTCAGATTTTTATTTTTTTGCTATGTTGACCTGGTTTGAGATGGGATGTTTTGACTTGGGTTTTGCTTCTTTGGCAAATAATAGAGCTTTAAAACCCATATTTGTGGGACAAGCAGATGGCAGTCACCACTGCTGACTCTGGTAGGTGTAGACACCTGTCAATCAAACAAACAACAAGGATTAACATCTCAATGAAGGATGATTCTTAAAACTGTCACCAATACACTTATTAGAGTAAATTAAATAACTGAGTTATACTTTCAGCACTGTGCAGCTATTAAAGGAAGTATTTTTTAAATAATATGCAATAGCTTCTCACTTTCTGTGCCTGACTGCAGCATGTTCACTGTAAGGAGATGCAGGATTCAAGATGGAAAACACATTTATTGAGGTCACAGTTGGAGGGTAAACACGCTCTTTGCTATTAAATATTCCATTTTACCAGCTGTTTGTCTGCCACTTCCCGAGGAGCATAAGCCTAACCCTAACCCTATTTGTGCAGAGGTCTGCTGGAAAAATGGGAAATTGCTGGATCAATAACGGACCATCAATTACACGCTCAACAACAGACGTCAGCAGAATGATACAATTAAGTTCAGCTATTAGAGACAAATGCAGTGTGACTCTTACCAACATAAATATGCATACAGTAAGAGATGGTATCTCACCGCCATGTCTTCCAACCTTTCCCTACCAGGAATGACACAGGAGTATTTGTGTCCGATATTGTCAAAGGAGGTTTGGTGGACACTGACGGCCGACTGATGCAGGGTGACCAGATCCTGTCAGTCAACGGTGAGGATGTCAGGTCGGCCACGCAGGAGGCCACGGCTGCACTGCTCAAGGTACATCTATTGCACTTGGACTATTCAGTATTTAAACTGCATCGGATGACAAATTTAAAACAATGTGCCTCGTGTTACAGTGCTGCGTGGGGCCTATAACAATGGAAGTAGGGAGGTTCAAGGCTGGCCCCTTCCACTCTGAAAGAAGGCTGTCTGAAAGTAGTCAGGTAATTTACTGTAGTTGTGAATTTATGATAGAAATCTAATTGAAATAATTGCTCTAATCTAGTCCTTGAAAACAAGACAACGAAGGAACACTGAATGTCTTTGTTTCAGATGAGTGAAACCGGGAGCTCCAAGGTAGCCTTCCAGTCTTGTTCAGACTCTGGAACCCCTCCCGACGACCTTGACAAACTAAGTAGGAGTCCAGATTGTAAGCAGAACTGATATTAATTCATGAAGCGTCTGAGTTAGTGTAATTGCCTCCAACATTTTGCACATTTGCCTTCCCTCGCAGCTCCAGAGCATCAGGACACCAGAACGGTTGAGTTCACTAAAGGTCCCAATGATTCTCTGGGTATCAGTATCGCAGGCGGCGTGGGGAGCCCTCTGGGTGACATACCCATCTTTATCGCTATGATGAATCCCGTCGGGGTGGCTGCTCAGACCCAGAAGCTCAAGGTACGAGATTTACACCTCCCTCTCGGTAACCTTTATCTCGCTTCCAGCTGAATACAAAACGGAGAGTTTGCACACCAGTGGTTCTTGTGTGGGACTTAATGCGAGTCTCAGTTATTCACACTGATGTCATTCCCACTCACTTTACTCAGTTTGTGAATCTCAAATCCTTTCAAAGGTCAAGAGCCTACAACCTTTAGCAGTGACCTTCGCTGTTAAATGACAATTGTATCTCTGTGTGACGCAGACTGGAGGAGGACAATAGCCATTGCTAACATGGATAATAAATCTCCCACTCCTGCATTCACATCATTAAGCCTACAGAAGGGCTCATTGAAATGAATAGGGGCAAATCTTGAATAGTATATTCATGCTGCTTTATCTTTTCAGCCAGAATGAGATGAGAACGCTACATAATGAAATTACTCAGCCGAACACAAGCATAGTTTTGCTTTTGTATGGCGTGGTGAATTCAATTTTCAAATGGTATTAGCCAGTGTCTCATCCTGTTATCATGCAGAGCTCCTCCAGACTTTGTGAACTAACACCGAAATAATAGAAATCACATAACAGCGCTTTTAAAAAAGTGCTTTTGATGTGCTGATACATCATCATACTGGTCCTAAGAAATAAGAAAACATCTGAGTGTGTTCATTATTTAGCCATAGAGACAACCTTTATTATTAATTTGTTTCCAGCCCAAACACTGGAGCTAAATAGAGCTGTGCAAAGAAACCCAGAGTCTGATCTGCATCTCAAATTTTCCAAACCGTTCCTCGGAAAATGTGTAAAGCCAGCTCCTGCTAAAGTTGCTTTTCTCTCGTGTGTCCTTTTTTTTTTTTAATTGTATGAAACACTCCCTTTTCCAGATCGGGGACCGCATTGTCAGTATCTGTGGAACCTCTGCTGAAGGCATGAGCCACTCACAGGCTGTCACTCTGCTCAAGAACGCCACGGGCACAATACAGCTGCAGGTCGAAACAGCACACACACACACACACACACACAGACACACTTGTTCTCTCACCCTTTCTTTTCTTATTAGATAAACCCACAGATACAGTTAGATAATCTGCAGTTGAACATGAACTGTATTCTTTACTTTATCTGTGTACAAAGTTTTCGCCTGCAAAGAACAGTCGAAGGCTGCCAGCGGCGGACTTTGAAGTACCATGAAACTCGTTTCCCTCATCCAGCACTACCACCATGCTATCAGTCTTTTATCTTGCAAGCGTAGTGTACCATAAAGACGCGCGGTTGTACATGTTCTTGTTTTCATGCACCTGTAGGTGGTAGCGGGCGGGGACACCACTGTGACAGGTCCCTCTCAGGAGCAGGCAGCCGGAGGTCTTCCACCCAGCTGCATCTTCCAAGATGACCTCGGGTATGAACTGGCTGTTACTCAAAACATTACTTCTTTTGTGTTGTAACATCCATCTTACCCCTATAATGTCAGTCTGTGTAAGGGACTGTGTGAAAATTATTAGCAGGGGACACAAATGGGGTAGAGTTATTAAGTCTTTTCTTTTTCTGAAGGGAATGCGGTCTAAATTTTTGGGACGAGCAGGAGAGGGGCTTATTTAAGCCTTCTGCTGAGTCATTCAATGCAGTTTGGTGAATGTTGTGAGAATTATTGTTCTCAAGGTGTATTCAGATACATTATGACCATGATAGTGTGGGATCAGTGTTTATTAATGCAGATGAGGGCCTTGCTTTTTCAAAAACGAAACCCCAGCCCGATAATTTCCATACAGTCCCTAACTCTCTGTGTCTTTCCATCAGCCCACCTCAGTATAAGACCATCACTCTTGGAAGAGGACCGGACGGACTGGGTTTCAGTATAGTCGGAGGGTACGGCAGCCCCCACGGAGACTTGCCGATCTATGTTAAAACAGTTTTCGGAAAGGTAACATGGTCAACTCTGTTTTGTTTTCGCAGAATTGCCAAATATATTGTGTGTTAAAAATTTAAAACTCAATTTGTGCGTGTGTGTGCGCTTAGGGAGCAGCAGCCGAGGACGGCCGTCTGAAGCGAGGAGACCAGATAATGGCCGTCAATGGGCAGACTCTGGAGGGCGTCACTCACGAAGAAGCCGTTGGCATCCTGAAAAGGACCAAAGGAACTGTCACGCTCACTGTGCTGTCATAGACACATAGGCAAACACCCACCCAGTTAATCCACATCTATAGAGATGGAAATTTTAACGTAAAAACCTTGCACGTGTGACGAGCAGTATTTCACAACTAGAAGACTGTGCTAAAATCACCTCTGAAAATATGAACAACCGTACACTGATAATCATGAAGGAGCTTATTGCTCAATGTAGCTTTGAACACTGTGATCCATGTAAGCCTGTTGCAAGTAGGCTTATGTATGCGTCATGATAAAAGAGCTTTTATCACTGAAACCCATATAATGATGATATATGATCATAAATAGGTTTCCACACAGATAACAGTTTTAATTTGTTCCTATAAGAGAACAGTATTAGAATCCATTCACTCACATTCCATGGCTCTGGTATGAAGTATTCACTGAACATTGTGGCTCAAGTATTTTGCCGTTTCCTGCAATGAAATGAACGGATTGTGAGGTCATTGTTTATTATTATAGTATTTTACAACAGATGGCACCCCCAAAGCAATATCAGAATATTTCTACAGAGGAGAGGCCTATTGTTCAAGGTTTTTTTTATAGTCTGGGGTCTACTTATAGGGGTGACCTCCCTCTGAATTCAGAGCACGAAACAGCATTAAAACGCCCTTGAGGCAATTAACTGATTAGCAGGCTTTAGCTAATGGCTATATTAGCTGATAATAGCATTATTTGTCTTTTACATTGCACTGCTGTTGGCGAGTTATCATACTGATTTTCCATGAAAGGCTGATGCTGCTGTAACTGGTATTAGTCAACTTATCATGAAGTCACTGTTGTTTTAGCAAGGGTGGCTAAGAGAGCATTTTTTAAGTGCTGAAGGCTAGAAGTCTGATATTGTAAATACACAGTGTGTAAACACTTCCCTGAAGGGAACGATGTGAATTCCTTAATGTCTTGTTCCTTAAACTAGGAAGCGTGGATCGAGTGCACACTCGACTAGATGAGGAATTGTGTGTGTGTGTGCGTGCATGACGTATTCACTGAAATATAGTGCTGCTAAAGCTGATATATAAGGTATTATGTCACAGTATTTGGATTTTTAAAAAAGTATTAATGAATGATCACTTCATGGAAGTGTGTAGAAAAGTAAACAACCTGCTATCTTGGTCGGTAGCTTCCTAAGTGTTTAACTTGTCAAATGATTATATAATGGACCTGAGCTCATTTTGACCTTATTATTTACCCAAACAGTCACCTAGTGTGCAGTTGTGTAAGTCCGTAGGCATGTGTTGTGTGGTCTAGTTTCAGAATGTTGTTTGTTCTCTGTCTTATCACCTTAAATATGTGGCTCTAGTACTGTCAGTGTGACAGTATTGGATTTATTTACACTGAATTAAATAAAAGTGACCTTTGGATTCAATCAGTGTTCCACTTTTGTCTTGTACTTTATTTTGTATGCCTAAAACAGACAGCATTCTTATTTCAGCAGCCTCTTTCTCTTACTGTAACCTTGGTGTATTCCTAATATCAAAAATAGAGTGGAGAATAATCCGAATCTCATCCTGTCACTTTAAATACACGGATACAAACAAGTGGGAGAGCTAGCCTGGTTATGAAAATAAGAAAACTCAATTGCTCCACTTTAGTTCGATCAATTCATTTGTTGTATTCAAATTATATAATAACAAAATAATATAAATAATTTAGGGGGGAGTTTGTAGGTGGATTCAGTTCTGGTCCGTTCAGTTAGTTTAGTTGAGTGGAATATGTGTGTGCTTGAGAGGGGTCCTTAAATATCCACTGAAGGTAGAAAATGACAGTAACCTGAGGCAGGTGAGGCAAGAGAATAGCAGCAGCCAGAAGAGTGTCAGTAAAGGGGACTTATCTTTTTGGTAGGTCCAATGGAGACAAAGAAGTGCAATGCTGTACCTGAGCAGGCCAGAGAGTCGAAAACACTTCCAAACTCACTCCAGGGAACAGCTTTTCTCCAGCTGAGCCTTGTTTCCCAGGAAAGTTCTGTAAATCCAGACGGTTCTTGAAACAACAGCCACTGTCTTTACTTTTACATGTGTCAGTTTTTATTTTTAGAGCACATATGGCCAGCAACTAGATTATACTGCCTAATTATCCTTTAATCTACTCGCACTCCTCTGTCTGTCCTCTTCCATGCTGGCTTTGTTAGTTTTTTCTTCACTTCTTATCTCATCCAGGTGGGAAAAAAAGATTATTCTACACATTTTTATTCCTGTCTGCGACATTTACAGCATAAAGTATTGAATGTATTCACACCGAATTAAATAAAAGTGACCTTCGGATCCAAGCAATGTGTTCCACTTTTGCATTGTCTTGTGCTTTATTGCTCCTTGTATGCCTCGGGCAGACAGCATTCTTATTTCAGCAGCCTCTTTCTCTGACAATAATCGACAAAAATATGGCGCACATAATTAAATCCACCAACAAAACTAGCTTGTTAAACCTCAGCAGAGTGACTATAAACTTAAATATAAAAATATAATGAATAATAGTGGTTGAGCATTGTGAAATGCAGGGCAACTTTCCAAATGCACCAGCTGTTACTCAATGTAACTGCTCCTTACTGAACGCTTGGGTTATTGTTACATCTGCCATACATCACCTAAATACATTTTCTATCCAGGAGATAAAAGTAATTTACTGTCGCTGCAGGTCATGTTTAAATGAAAGGCGAATGGATCTAAATCAAAAGCTGAAACAAGTCGAAATGTACATGAACAAAGATTTATAGATGAAGGGTAATATGGCCGTGTGGAACAGCGCAGTCCTGCTTGAATAGACTCTGTTGTCACTTGAGACTTAATAAAGGCTGGATAGAGAGAGACAGAGCTTTCCATTAAAGTATGGTATCCCATCTGTCTGTGCACTGACAAGCACAGCTGCTTCACAGCCTGTCACATGGTTTGTGTGGAGTCCTATGCATGAAGTCTATTTCTTAACTCGGTTTACAGCAAACAGGGGCTACCAATTAATCACGCAAGTCATGCAAGACTTTTGAAGTCCTTTCTCTAATGAGGTCTGGGGTCTGCTCAGATGCAGCGGGCTGTTAGCGTAAGACTTTTATAGTATCCTCAACTGTTGGGTGACTCCTTCGCGCTGAGGTCAAGACCTAACGCAGTTACCTGCAGCTGCTGCAAGCGCCTGCGCTCGACAGCTGACCTCCGCCTCAAGCACCTGTTGTTTTAATGCCCCCCCCCCGGTGGGTTTAGAGGTTACCCGGCCTCCCCCCAGGTTCGGGCGACGCTGCTCGGTTTACCTAAGGCTTGTCCCCACTAGCCTTTTAGATGTGTAATCAGATGTTGCCACCGCGTCACGCTTGGCTTGAATTTGGGCAAATGGTGTAACATTTCCGCTCCAACGGCGCCAAAGCTGAGTCACTGAATTATCAAGATGCCACTCAGGCCTTTATGGACATTTTCATGGGATTTTCCCATGAACAAGACTTTCTTTCTTGACCTCATAAACAAGAGTTATAACCGAGGCACTTTTTATGTCCTGTTGTGTCTCCATAACTACTTACTGCGCTTGACCCTGTGAAATAAGCTTGTCACCGCCTGTTCAAATATTTCAGAGCTCAGTATCATCATGACTCATGCTAGCTCCATGCTGGCTATCAGGAGGTTAAGCACACAGAAACCTATAGTTCATGATCGGGCCGTGATGACTCAGCAAACATGCCTAATGGCAAGCCATCGTTCCGGTTTAACTGCTAGAAGGTGTTCAGTTATTTTGATTAAAGATGGCAAAGGGACATGGTGGTAGATTTGGTTTGGGCTTGAACACAAGGAATTTTGTTGAACTGCAACAATTGATCATCAGTGTTATCACTATCATCAGCTGAACATGCAGTGCATCAAAAAGATGCTTGAACTGGGTTTCAGTCATCCATTATGTGTCATTATATCAACAAAATTGGTGTAACTAATGCTTTAATAAAGGTTCAAATGTATCACCACAAATGAAGCAGAGCACTAAAGTCAGGCTTTTACTGGCTGCCACAGCAACCCCAACCTCCACCTCATGGGGTATTTCATATTGTTGATTTAACTGAGATTAATGTTCATTATTATGTACTATGTTTATTTGGGGGGGATTATCTCTCTCTGCAGAAGTTTCTGCCAAATCTAACTGTGTAGCCATTTGCTGTAAATGTCAATTCATTGACGCCAGTTTCTCTGACGGAAGAGTGCACGAGTCTTAAACTAGACAGGAATGGACCTGACAGAAAAATTCCCAGAGTGATTGTAGTTTTGATCCCGTCCCTTCATGACAAATAATTTATTATAGCATAGCAGCTTGTGGATGGAACTTTCTGTCAGTCAACAGAAATTGGATGGATTGCCATGGATTTTTACACACATTCATGTCCCCTCACGATGAACTGTAATCACTTTGCCAAACCTGTGACTTTTCAGCTAGCGCCATATAATCAGGTAACATTTTCAATTAGTCCAATACTAACACTAAACTAAAATGGCGAACATGCCAATCGATATACCTGCTAAACATCAACATGTTAGCATTGTCACTACGGGCTATTTTCTTTCAATAAGCACTTGCAGCTCACAGATGCAAGTTCTCACTTGACTTTTTAACAACTGCAAGTATTTATTTGTTTTTCTCACATCAGGTGTTAAAAAAATCATTTTGCCATTGTCAAACTTGCCCCGACATATCAAACTGTCACAAAGGAACACGTGCAACTTTCAGCAGACACGCTTGGTTAAACAACATCCTTCATCTTCTCAATACCTGATCCGCCTTGTGGACTCACAACGTCACGGAAAACAGTCTGCTATCTTTTGCATGAATCAAAAGTCTTCTTTACATGCTGAGTGCCTTTTTGTCTCGGGGAACTGGGGGTCTTAAAAGGTCATCTTTCCCATCCTGCCGTCATAGAGACGCGCTCATGCATACACAAACCGGCAAACGTAATCTAATTTCCATGGCAGTGGTGTACAATTTCTGCTCGACGAACACGCTGCTCTTTAGTAGCTTTAAAGGAAAGAGTGACTCAAAAAGGTGTCTGAGGCAATCATTTGACCTTTCTGCGCGGTGACTCTGTTGCCTCAAGCCTTTACCGAGCTGCCAAAAAAGATTAACACATCGCAGGCGCGTACAATCCTCTGCATTGTTTGAGTCAGCAGACACTAGTTGCTCTTTAACAGTCCTTCCTCTCAGCACAATGCTATAACTGCAGACAAATTGGATGGTAATTGTTGCTGACAAAAGAATCCAGAGACAAACATTTCAGATGCGAAGAACATTGATCTCAATGAACATTTTCGTATCAATAAAGGGCTGATATACTCTGGAATGTGAGGAAGCAACTCATTATGCAACGTTCTTGTTAGATTAGTATGTATGATTAAACCCAACTGAAGTAATGATTAATGATAGTCCAAACCTTAAGGGAGATTTTACCTGAGACTGATAAACAAGTCTTACAACTTAAACTGGGAATAAGGACTGGTAGAATTGTTAGGGAGTGAGACAAAAAAGACGTTTGCATGACAAATGTTCATCCAGCCCAGCTTATACGGCCTTTTCATTTGTTTACTGTAGTTTTACATATCTCTCTCTGGTGTCTCGTTTCCAGAACCGACAAAAAGACATATAACTATCCTCCTTTATTTAGATGCTAACAATTATATTTTTCTGCGTAAACAGTCAAGACACAAACAAACACATACTTTCCTTCCTTCTCCATAACCCGAAATTATGCCAGAGTCATACTTTGTGAGCAGGAGGTTGGATGTTATCGTGATTTACAGTTGGGTTTTCTGTCACTACGAGGATAGCTGCAGCTCAGCACTCAGCCTTGAGTTCCTTTTAAATTAAAGCTGGGAGTTAACCGGGGGGGGGGNNGGGGGGGGGGGGGGTGACATCATGCGAGATTGGATTTCCTCCTCACCTTTTTGAAGGTGACACAGACGACACATTGCACATGTGCAATGAGGGGACGTCAAATGTTTGGTGTCTAACCATTTAACTGCAGCTATTACATGTCAGCAATACAGACAGTCTACTCAGCTCAGACTGTAAACGCCACAGCAGACAAGACAGTTTTTAATGACCCATCTCACACAGTAAACTACCCTCTATCTCTGTCTGATAACAGCCGCCGCTTTGTCTTAAACACACCTTGCATGTTTCTCTTGGTATGTTTGCATTTCAGTTACAGCTTCAAATTACATCACCG